CAGGAATGAGATTGCAGGATCTAGATGTCCAGCCTTTGAAATCCCCACAAGCGTTGCCACCCAAATATGGACACCATTTACTCGAAGAAGCAAGAGCAGAGATAAGAAACTTGTATGTTATTTTTACATTTCTCAATCCATTCCCCATCGTCTGCATCAGTTTGACCGCAGCTTACGGTTATTAATCAAGTCACTGTCAAGAGAAAGCGAAAACAAGAGCTCCATTCATTTAGATTAGGTTTTCATTTTAACACGGAGGGCTGGGGTCCCATTCTCATACCCAAGAACCTGGGGAGGGGGCACACTGATTCAGGATAACTGGGATGGGGAGGGGAGAGGGGGATACAAATAAGGTGTTCGGCACCACAGGTGCCACAGTGATCCATTCCTGCCCCCCTCCTCGAACCAGCCTGGTTCTCTCACCAGGCTCCTCGCAGCGCACGTGTCTAACCGTGGCGACATGGCTCCAGTCATGACCATAGTCCCACCAGTGATGCTTGGCCTCTCCCCACAGCCAACTGCTCTGGCAAGGAGGCAGGAAGATGAGTCTCCCTGTTCCACTGCGGAGGGGAGGGGCAGCGTCGGCGGGACTATATCCGTGTCACCACCATCGGACATGTGCCCTATGAGGAGCCCAATGTGTGTGTGTGTGTGTTTTGAAGTAATCAAAAGGCATCTATTCTCTCCTTGGAGCATGTTTCCTTGCTCTGTCTTAATTGTGGTTTAAAAACAACAACGTTGTTTTATTGTGTAATCAGTTCCTATACCCCTGTTACTATCCATCAGCCTCTCTCAGCCTCCTCTGATCATCAGCCTTCATCACTGGCCCAGATTGCCCTCGGTTTGAAGCCTACTTGCCCCTCACTTCCCCTCTCTCTTATCCATTCCATCTATAACCACCTTCCACATTTCCTCCTTTGGCCAGAAAGCTTTGTTCATGCTTAACGCTCTTTTTAAGTTGGTCTCTGCTTCAAGCATCTTGGTTGGTCAACTTAATATACGCTAGTCAAGCTCATGAGCAGAACTGCCGTCAGCTCATCCCAAAAATGCTTTGTAGTGCCAGAAGGGAGTCAAGTGAGGTTTGACGAGAAGATGCTCTTTCTGGAAGAAGAGCAGAACAAGTTCTTTCCATTGAGGAGATGCAGACATGTTGTACATGTCCACATGTATGTATTCTCTTCCCGTGTACAGCTCCTTTGATAAAGCATCTATTGAAACCCTTAGATCACCTTTGCTTACTGATCTAAACCGCAGGGAAATAATCTTTTGTTGAGCTTTCCGCATGGATTAGACACAAGTTAACATGGATCTTTCCTTCACATCCTTCCCTCGCTGATCTAATATGATACGCACACATATGACTGTGTATTACACAGTCATCATAATAATTACTGATAGCATTTACATAACCTTTCAAGCGTTAAAATATCTTTGCGTATATCATTTCAGCAGCTCTTACTTCACATCTCTAAGATACGCTAGTTATGCCCTCACATTGATTTGCGGTATTTAAACCCAATTCCAAAAGCAATGGCCTGAGGCAGCTGATAAGGTGCAGATAAAAAAAAAATCACAATAGAAGAAAACGATAAACAGTCAGACTAACTACAGATCTGTAAAAGCAGCCACAAATATAAAATGCATGATCCATGTGACCCATGTGAACGAGAAAAGGATATCAGATTACTCAATTGCCCATATAAAAGCAGTGTTGTAAGACTATGTTTAGATGGCAGTCTTGTGTTGAGCTGAGAATAAGCTTTTTAGAACTCAGTAGTGCTTACATATGAGTAGACATATATGGAATTGAGCTAACAGCTAAACATAGCCAGTTCAAGCCCCTTCCTCTCTAGCATTATAAAAATCATCTCAAAAAGATGCATTGTTAAATTCCATGAAACATTCTTAATGCATCAGCTCAGCAACAGGCTAGTTTAAAATACCGTGTCTGATGGAAATCTTAATAATGAATCTATAGTGTACATGAAAAACACGTGGACTGTGACTTGCATATGGTGAATTTAACAATACATATTAGAAAGCATTACAATGTATTAAATATGTGTCTTAGATCTAGACATCCTAATTATCCTTAGTTTCTTTCAGGGATACCTTTTGTTGAAACTAGTTGTCCTCTTTGAGAACAGTGAGTCAAGAATGGTCTTATATGCATGATAAAGCACGTGTTTTGTTCTGTTTGCTATGGTTTACGTATATGCTGTATAATTGATACAAGCAAAAAAATAAATAAACCCAACAACCTGCCTCTTGTTGACTTGCAGAGAGAACGTGATTGAATCACAAAAGCTGCACAATGAAGAGTTATCAAGTACAGTGGAAATGCTCAAAAGTGAGTTAAAGAAGAAAGAAGAAGATTTTGACGATGCTCTTCTACAAATGAAAGAGCAGCAAGCTACAGGTCAACGGTATGGTTAAGCAGAAGGGAAATATTCCCAGTTCATAAGTTACACAAGTTCCTATGTCTTATGGCAGTAAAGTACAGTAGGACCGTCCTATCTGCGGGATCAGTATCTGCTGATTCATTTATCCACTGCCTGAAAATACTAAATAAAAGGCCCCAAAAATACATAGTTATGTACATTTCCAGGGTGTAGATAACTACTGGCCATTAGAAGAAGCTAGGGACCAAGCATTGTATAGCATTCTATACTTCTACGTTTTTTAGCATCTGCAATGAGGCTTGAAACTGATCCCCTGCAGATACCACGGTCCTACTTTATTGCTTTTGTTCATGCTCCTTTTTTTTGTGTGCGGCATAATATTTCATGTAAAGCAGGCTTCATTAAGTTGTGAGCCGCCCAGAGTAGACTATTAGTGTGCGGCATAATATTTCTTGTAAAGCAGGCTTCATATGCCTCCTACTGGCCAAGATATAATTCTAAGGTTGTGCATAATTGTGGTGATGACAGAACTAGTAATGGCAATCAGACTCAGTTGAGTCTAGGGAAATTCAGAGTTCACAATCTTCGTTAATCTAGTCAGTCAGATGATAATTCCTTGAATTTGGACATGAAGAGGAATTTGGTTTGGTTTAAAAATAGAAAGTGGACATCTTTAGCCTTCTCTAGGTCTGCCGAAGGGAAGAGGAAGGAAAAATGTATGGGTCCTGGGTGCACTTCGACAAATAGTGTGCTGCTTATATACCACCCCAGAGTGCTTAAAACTCTCTCTGGGTGGTTTAAAATTTAATTGTGTAGTCTACACATTGTGTGTGCCCCCCCCAGCGAGCTGGGTCCTCCATTTACCAATTTACTTGGAAGGATGGAAGGCTGAGTCAACCTTGAGCTGGCTTCCTGAGTCCAAGGGGATCGAACTCAAGTTGTGAGCAGAGTTTCCACTGCAGGGCTCCATTTTAACCACTGCGCCACGAGGCTCTTACTTCTCATAACGGGAAGATAAGGTTTTCAGTCATGTCTCAACCAGGCGAGTGAGTTGGGCAGCATGTAATATGTCAATTAATGATGATTAGCAGAACCAATTGGACTTCCATCTGCACCTGATAAGTGCATTTCTCTCCCACTCCATAAATTGAAAAACAAGAATAGAAAGAAACTTCTCTAAAAACTCACTCCAAGCATTTCTGCTATCTGTCTGATGTGAGGAACAAGATTAATAAAAACATGAAATTGCATTAGAGTTTTTGGTCTTTCCAATTGGCAAGGGTGTTGTGTTTCCTTGCTGCAACTATGTTTTTGAGGGGTCCAATAAACCAGTTCCTCAGGCAAGATTCCTGATTTAAGAGCTTTTTAATCTTCTCTGTAAGGACAGTTTACCAAGTAATGCCAAAACACAGTGGATTCTGAGATTCAGAAGAATTTTTTATATAAGTATTTCAAGTCCTCAGCTGGTTTACAGATGTCTAAGCTTTGTAGTCTAATTTCTGGTTCCAGCATGGCAGGAGGACAATTTTTCCAGCCTGTCTTTAACAGATAAGTATTGAAGGAGAAACAATCTATTTCAAGATGTGTGATTCTGTTCTGATGTTTATCATACTTTATTTGGTATTAGCAGTTAAGTCGTTCAGGAGTTTTCCTTTAAACCATTTTTTTCTTCTCAAAATACATGGAAAAACAATAATAATGAGGTCACTCTGCACTGTGATACATTTTTTTTAAAAAAACACCAATCTGTATTTAGCTGCCTGATGACTTTTAACAAGATTAAATTGTGAGTTTTCAGTTCAGTCTCAGCAGGGGAAATACATAACAGAATCTCAGCCATATAGAATTTCGGTCAAGATGGTCAACGTTAACATACATCTGTAGCTTATTTGAATGTCAGTCTTGGGGCATTATCTGTGTAAAATGCAGAGTCACTTGCCTTGCAAATAACTTGGGGAACGTTTTTAAGATTTCGGAGGAAACTGCAGGAAATAGTAATTCTTGGACACCAGAAGTTTGGAAAAATGTGGCTAGCTAGTAAAAACAAATTGTCTCCTATTGTAAGCATAACGTTGCTCTTTTCACCACAAAATCTTCCATAGCATAAACCAGTATGTCTAAATAGCAAGTCATTTTCTGACCTCTTCAAGTAAAACCTAGATATATTTAACAATTTATAAGGCTAGTTTGAACAAAAGAAATGGAGTTAGGTAATAAAAGATTGACATCTCAATTGCTGAGAAATCCAAGAACCATAAAGAACTGATTTTCAAGAGGGTGGTTTTTTTTTAAACCAAAACAAAATTAACAAAGTGACAGTTGCAATGTAGATCTTGCCATGATCTCTCTCTCTTTTTTTTTTTTTCCTGTCCCTTTTCCTAAATTTATGTTTGGAAGGTTAAGCATTCGGGACAATGTTGAAATGATCAAACTCCACAAGCAGTTGGCGGAGAAAAGCCGTGAGATGGCAGCTGTGGAAGACAAAATGCTTCAACTTCAAGAGGTATGGAAAGACTTTGGCTAGAATCCTAAGCATGTTTACTTGGGAGGGAAATTCCTGTTGGACTCCAGGAGGACTTCCTTCTGGGTTGACTTTGTTAGGATTGTTCCAAACCTTCAAGTGTACCTGTAGGAAGGCAAAGATGGCTGTTTGTGCTGAAAGGGCAGCCTTTACCCATCTCTGCTCAGAAACAAGCTCCTCTGAGTTCAGTGCCATTGATAACCCGGGTATGTATTACAGGATTCTAGCCTAAAGGGGAAACAGAAGTGGTTTATGACATTCAACTGATTGTAAATATTTATTTTGATGTTTTAGTTATATGCTTATGAAATAAAACCACACATTTGTGCCACATTTCAGCTCTTCAGGTACCCTCCGTTGAAACCCCATGACACGCATTTCGAATGTGGCCAGCCGATTCCCCTTGTCATTTTTAAGACACTACATTTCTTCTAACTAAATCCTCAAAGTGGAGTTTCACTGCAAAGGAGTGAAAGAATACACATTGAGCCACCACAGCCGTGGGGTTAGCTGCAAGATGACAAGGAGCCGGTTGGGCGTATTTGTGGCTGGGTTCATTTTCCAAAGTGGAGTTTCACTGCACAGGAGTTAAAGAATACAAATTGAGCCACCACAGTTGGGCGTATTTGTGGCTGGGTTCATTTTTGCTTGCTGCTGCAGTGTTTTTGTCCACAAACTGCAGTAACCACAGTAGAATGCCTTAATTGCTGCTCAGATCCTTGCCTTGGTCCTTCTCCTTGCAGCTGAACTGGGAGGGGATCGCATTAAATCGAGAGGAAGGAGGATCACCCTCCACCCTCTTCCTTGATATCTCTAATGCCATTGTCTCAGGCCCTTTGCAATATCATCTCCTTTGGACTGGATTGGCAATGCGGCTTCAATCTTGTTGCGGGGAGAAACCTTTAACTCTGAGTACATACCCTCTATACGGGGATAGGGTCTGTCCCGCGCAGTTGCCCAGCCACCCAAAACTCATGCCTGTTGCATTCCCTCTGCTGCCCTCCGTAGAATCAAAGGAATCTGAAAGCTAGCCACGACGCGCTCATGGCAAAAGGCGACGAACTCAACTTGCAGCTCAAAGAGGAACGTTCAAGGTGCCTCCAGCTGGAGAGAGAGCTGCACGCCGCAACGTTTTCAAAACGACGGTTAGAAGAGGTGAGAGGACATCTGGGGAGCAAAGGTTCAGAAGGGGCCTAGTCTTTCCACAATGCTCGAAAAAAATGCATTGGACAAATTTGTTTAATGCCAAAGCTAGGGAACCAAAGGGCTTCCTTATCGTTAGAAATCTCCTTCTTTTTCTTTTCGGTAGGAATCTGGCAGAAGCACAGGAGATAGGCCTAATATACTTACCCACTGATATGGCTCATACACAGTAAATATTTTCTGTTTTATATAGATTATTCCCAACATTTCCCCCTGTACAGTGGTGCTTCGCTTGACGAGGATAATCCGTTCCAGCGAAATCGCTGTAGAGCGAAATCCTCGTCAAGTGAAATTAAAAAGCCCATTGAAATGCATTGAAAACCGTTCAGTGTGTTCCAATGGGCGAAATACCTGCTCGTCCAGTGAAGATCCTCCATAGGGTGGCCATTTTCGGGTGCCTGTGCAGCAAAAAATGCGTCCTAAAAAACAGCGGGGAGCCATTTTGAGCAGCCAGCAGCCATTTTGAAAACCCGACGATCAGCTGTTTTGATCATCGTAATGCGAAGAATCGGTTCTTGAAGCAGGGAACCGATCGTTGGGAAGCTAAACAAGCCCATTAAAACATCGTTTTGCAATCGCAACAAACAATCCCATTAAAACATCGTTTTACGATCACAATTGCGATTGCAAACACATTGTCGTGAAGCAGATTCGTCGTCAAGCGGGGTAATCATTAAGCGGGGCACCACTGTAGTTGTTACCCTGTAATTGGACGCATGTGAATCTGAGCAATCAGAATAGGCTAACCAGCCACCCTTGCAAACATCTGTCCTGTTGGCATAGTGAGCAGTGAACTATTGAGCTTCTAACGAGCAGCAAATGTCAATGGCTAATGTCAGTATGTGGGGAATGTTTGCATCGCCACATCTTGTGAGATTACAGCTCCCTGCAGCTCCAGTCAGTTTAGTCAATGGCAAGGAAGAACGAGGGGTTCACTTCAGTAAAGCTTCTAATGGGGGAGAGGCGGTCGTCTTACTCCCAGCCATTGAGCAAGTGACTATTTTTATAGTAACAGCACATGTCAGGCAGCCCATAAATGTGTTAATAAACCATGGAGCCTTTTTCAAATACAGAAACACAATCCCTGGTGAAAATTCTTTCGTTAGCAGTTTTCAAGGGATGCGCTATCTTAGCCCAGCCCAGTCTTCTATGGCATGGTAATTGTGGCTTTATTTACTTGCCGTGGCCAAGATATTGATGAGGAAATGCAGAGCGGAAAGGCAAGCTGTTCCCCCACCCCTCCAGTGAGCTGTTGTGGAGATCCCACTCATTGCAACTTTGAAATATAATAATAATAATAATATAATTTATTGTCATTGTAAGTATATACACAGTATACCATACAACGAAATTCACAAATATAACCATATATATTAGGCTGTATCAATGATATAAATTGCTACATCTTAATATATATGGTTGTATTTTAAAATTGTAATGAGGGCCATTTCCAGACATCCACATGGTGCAAACAGAGCCATCAACTAGTTACAGAAGGAGGACCCTGTGGAATGGGGAGTAGCCATGTGGCACAGTGGTTAAACTGCTCTACTGCAGCCCAAACTCGGCTGACAACCTGGGTTCAGTCCCAGGTAGCCAGTCCGAGGTTCACTCAGCCTCCCAGGTCAGTAAATTGAGTACCCAGCTTCCTTGGGAGGGTGAGGGGCAAAGTGTAGCCTGCATAATTAAATTGTAAACCACCCAGAGAGTTGCTTTGAAGTGCTATGGGGCAGTATATAGGCAGTAGGCTTGGCCTTGCTTTTATTTGTATGATGGCCCTCCTGCACACCTCCTTTTCCCCCAGTAGGATTTGGACCTGTGTATGTCTCACTTTCCCTTAAGTAAGCTGACAGCAGTTTCTTCATCCATCATCTCTGTTATAGCCCACATGTTGGTTGTGCCACGCCTGCTTCAGTCAAGGAGTTTCCGTTCCTGGTCCAGTAGCTTTACCTTTCCCTGTTACAAACCCAGGCTGTTAGCCAGAAGAAGAAAAAAATGTGCATGCCAGTAATTATTGCTGCTTCATTTTCACTTTCCTCACCTATAACCTTCTTCATTCCAGCTGCAAGACAGAATTAATGATTTGGAAAAAGAGAGGGACCTTTTAAAAGAAAACTATGATAAGTTATATCACAGGTAAATTATAAGTCACTGCAGTACTCTTTTGGCATTCTGTTTCTTGATTTATCGATTAGCTCACTGGTTCTTAACCTTGGGTTACTCAGGAGTTTTGGACGGCAACTCCCAGAAGCCTTCACCACCAACTGTGCTGACTGGGGTTTCTGGGAGTTGCAGTTCAAAAGCATCTGAGTAACAAAGGTTAAGAACCACTGGATTAGCTGAAATAGTGGCTATCTGAAGGCAGGGGAACTACCACGAGATGATATCAGGAAACTTGCCAGTGCCCTTTAAAAAAAGTGGTGGGAAAGATCTTTAAAACATGAAACCTTTACCTATTGGCAACAAAGGATCCTGGCACTTTTAACAAGACTTAAGCCCAGGAAGCAAGAACCGGTGAACTACTTCTCAGAACCTTATCCTTAGGAAACCCTCAGAATCAACTTGACAGCACATAATCCTAAATCAATAGGGTTTAGGATCCTAATGGGCAGAGCCCATATTATCTTCAGATGCAGAAGTGGCCCATGAAACCTGAATAAAAGGTGCTGACTTGTTAGCCTAAGAGATACAGTGAACTAACACCATAGTTTCCCTGGAATTTTCCACATTAAAGTTCTGCCGACAAAACGGCACGTACTCTGGTTAGAGAGCTTCTAGCACACACCATTCATACAGGGCTTCCTTTTGGCTCCATGTGATCTGAGTTCCTCCTCCTGGTGGCTTGGGCTTCAGCAAGCAAATCTTTCTTCAACCCCCGGAGACGGCAGAGACACCAGTGCCATCCGTCACGAGGTTTAGGCTTCCACCCTCACTCCCAGGAAAGAGCTAGGATGGAGAATTCACTAGGGACAGAAAGCTGCCTTATATACAGACGGATCTCCGACTTTGAAAACCACTGTTCAGAAGAAGTCTCGGGAAGATTAAGAGTAATGACAAGCATCCAGTGGGTCCAGGGAGCTCAGCTTGCTCTTAATCATTAATGATGCCTGGAGAATTTATGGCAGTAGGAGTTCAATGAACGAAGCAAATATATAAAGAAATAAATGACTTACATCCGTGTTTCTAGAAGAGCTGCTCTATCCCTTCCCAGTACTGCTTGGTAAAAGCCCAGGGAAGACTGAGAATGGTTTAAAAGGTAACTCAGGGCTCTGCTGTTCTAAGAAAAGGATCCCATTGGAGGAAGGAAAGTCTTCGGGTTAACCCGAAGCATCTCGGTAGGTTTGAATTTATGGCGCTAGCCTTTGGCCCCTCGCAATCCGTGAAGCCGCCCAAGGGTGCTGATTGCAGCACCGCTCACTCAAGGGGCTTGCACTGAACGACGAGACTCTGTGACTCTCTTTCTGCCCCCTATTTAATTCTTGTGCCCCCCACCCTCCAGACTGTCGTTGGGAGGGGGGAGCCGGCTGCAGGTAGACAGTTCCGTTCTACAGCACGGGGAGCAAAATCCTTGACACACACACCCCTTTGGGCCCAAGGAACTGGTGTCGTGACTTCTCTGGATTCTGATTAGAGTTCATCTCTAGGAATTGCTCGCAAAACAAATCAGGTTGAGAGCCTTTTCACCGTCTCATAACAAGACTGACCTTTTAGGGGGGAGCTTTTTTGGGTTTGCCAACAGACCTGCAGGTGATACTGCGAAGAAACGTTGAAAGATTGAGGCATTGTGTATCGAAGCAGTGTTTGCAGTGTTTCCAGTCATTACCTTCTCTGGACACATCTTCCCCCTTTCTACTGGGTATATGGCCACTTGTTGCCATTCTCCACCATGCTGTGAAGGGGTTTCCTTCAAACAGAAGGCTGCACCAAAGGTTTCCTTGCCTTCGGTTTAGAGCAGGTTTTCCAGAGAGAGAGAGAGAGAGAGAGAGAAGGAGGAAGCAAAGACCACAAGATGTCATTCTGACTTTTCAGGTGCCAAATTGCCTAAAGCTATACAATAGCTACCCTGGATATTTCTGTAAAGACGCCAAGGGGTAATAGCCTGTGTAAATTCTGTCAGCAGCACTTAATATCACATAAATAAAAAATTAGGAGGCTGAACCTACGGGACATAAAACGAGGTAGGGCACTGAATTCATTTTCTGGTGCCGAACAGAAAATTGAAGCAATTACAGTCAATTTGCAGGAGGCTTTAATGAGGGAACATCTCCCATCCATGACAGTGGATGGGAGAAGAGCCCTCCAGTTAGAAGACATATGAAATGTTTACTTCTTTGGAGGCAATGATGAGGACTTTGTTTTTCTTCCAAGCCAGTTTTAATATTTTAAACATGAACTTTTTTAAAAAAAATGGGTAGGGCATAGTTAGTGTTGTATGTTTCCTGATTGCCCTGCTCAGACCGACTTCCTTGCATCAACACCAATGTTTACACCCTATGAGTTATCACAGCATTTGAGTTTGCCAGAGTCCGTGGTGATAACAGAGACCCAGATTGGACCGGTTGTGAAATGCAGAGTTCGTCTCGAACGTAGTCTTTTAATGATTTAGACCCTTGTTCCATTCAGCTCAGTATTTGCATTTCTCTTGCCATGTGGCCACAAAGATGTCCAGAGATCCTTCGCCCCCCCGATGTCCCTGATACAAATTAGATTGCCATGACATTGTATGTTGACGAAGACTTAATCTGCATGAAAACCCTTCAGATTGATAGAAAAGAAGGGTTCACATTGCTCTTTTTAGTAGCATAGCCTTCAACCTGAAGCAAGAGCGCTGGAAAGAAAGTATAACTTTAGAAGATGATCTTTTCTAAAAACAGTCACAAGGCGCACACACACACACCAAAGTCAACGGTCTGTCAGGCTAAGCAGGCATTCCAAGAATGGTAAGAAATCTGCTGTTCTAATCAGACGATTTTGTGGGGAAATCCAAGAACCCAATTTTCTTTCGGTCGATGGCTTGCAGGTATCGCTTTCCTCTGACCCTGTAATCCTGATCCAGTCTTGCATACCGTCGGCACAAAGGCCGCGGTGTTGCTGTGCGGCTGGCCGTTTCTGCACACCCAGAGGGTTTCCAAAATGAGGCGGCATAGAATGAACTCCAAAGACATTCCACGCTGGATTCCAGTGGAATGCAATCCTAAATGTAAAAGAGAGGATAACTGCAGACTAAATTCCAGAACCATTTTGTGTGTCTTTAAAGTGAGCATTATGTGGATTTAGAAAAACGATTGTGTTCAGTTGCGCAGAATTTAACCAGGGGCCAGATTCTGAGTTCACCTTTGAAAATGTGTGAAAGACCATAAAACTGGACTAAGCAAACTTACTTGACAATTGAAAATCATATGTCATGGTATTTAAGTAGCAGCGCAGGCTGGATTTATGATCCATCTCTACTGTTCTGTCCTTATTTTTTCATATGCTCACTGATTTTTCAGTAGTTTAGAATCAAAACATCAGGTAAACTGCAAGATAGACAGTGTCTCACCATCTTTCTTATAAAACAGTGTCCGTGTGATCAGTGTAATTCTCATTTTACAGACCAGGAAAGGAGAGACACAGAAACAACCCATTGCCCAAACTGTTCTGGTTGATAGGTAATTATCAGTGTAGTTTATGAGGCATGCCATCAAAAAGCAAAGCAGGATCAGTGCTCTAAATACTGAATAAGAGCCTAAACTACTTAAGTATATTTATAAAATGTTTCAACACAACCAGTAAGTGATTAATGCTTGTCCTCAAACTAGGCATAGACATTGTCATCTGATTGATCACCTGTGGAGAATAAAAATCATCTTCAGATGACCAAGCAGGAAATGCTACATCCCTCCTGAAAAGCAATTTTGGAATGGTTACGTACTTGGAATGGTTACAACAACATTGTAGTCTTCTTAATTTTTTTGTTTTGCCTGACACTTTAGATATCTTTTTTTTATTTAAAAAAAAAGGTCTGATATAGTAATTAGATCAACGAGAGTAAAAAATAAGACGATTCAAGAAAGGTTCATAAAACATCACCTCCCTTTTCAAAAATCTAATAATTTGGAACTCTGCATCAAGGAAAAAATTGAGAGAGGAGAATTCAGGTGGCATCTCTGATTCTATCTGTGATCGTGTAGCCGTTCCTCAGTATTTCTTTGCAGAGCAAAATAAAAACTTACCTTTAGTGCATATAAGAGATCAGCACGCCGATTCAGAACCATGGGCAGGCTTCAAGCTGTGGCTCAGCCTAGAAGTTCTTTCAAATGTTTTAACTTTTCACTATTTAGTTATATGTGTATTGTTATATGTTTGAGTTTTTCTTTACTATTATTATGTTGTGGACCACCCAGAATGGTGGCCATGGGTCAGTCTGAAATTGACTAATAAACCAATCTGAAATTGACTAACAAAATACAAGGGCTTCTTAAAGCATGATAGAGGAGCTGTTTTAAGACAGGAGGGCCACTGTTATGTTGCAGCCAGGGTTTCGTTGGACATGCAACCGCTGCTAAATTCCCTTCCCTTCTTCCTCTCTCTCAAGTGCCTTAAAAACTTATTTTGGGGGAGGGGGAACTGTGATCCCAGTAGGCAAAGAGGTTGCCCCCCTAGTCTGTAGCTGAGGATCTGAGTAACCGATTCCTCTGAAATGGACCTCCAGATTCTTCTCTCGAGCTTCCCCCCCCAAAGAAAAAAACCCGTTAGCAAGGCTGCCAACTCTCCTGGCTCTGCAGCTCTAAATTGAGGCCAGCCCTGTTGCTCTTCCCACAGACCCTTTTATGTCCCACAACCGCAGCCTAAGTAAGGCGCCTCCATTTCAACAGAAGCAGACCAGCGTGTGTTTACTTAATTCCTAAGACATGATGACAGTGATCTCTGCCACTAAAACAGCTTCCTCCCCCCTTTTTTTCCCCTTTCTTTATTATTCTCTGTTGAAGTTGATTTCTGAGAGTTCCTCGCATGCCATATGTTGTTCTTGAAACAGTTTAAAAAAAAATTTTTTTTTGGTCCTTCTTTCCTTCTTTCTCCTTTTCTTTCCTAAATTCCTCAGTGCCTTCGGCATGACCCACGACCAGCACTGGAAGTTCAAGGAGCAGCAGCTGAAGCTGCAGATCGCTCAGCTGGAAGCTGCTTTAAAGTCGGACTTAGCAGATAAAAACGACATCCTGGACAGAATAAAAGTGGAACGAGGTATCTCGCTGTAAAGGAAGCCAATTGCCACTGCCCCGTGTGGCACGCAACTGAGTTTTCACGAGTGCAGGCACATATCCAGGGATACAGGAAGCTGCCTTGTATCAACTCAGGCTGTTAGCCCTCATCTAGCCTGTTACGGTCTACACTGATCATCCGTGGTTTTCCAGGAGGTGTCAGGGAGAGCTTTCTTCTAGCTTCTGCTCTCTGATCATTTCAACTGAAGACACCAGAGATCAGAGCTAGGACGATCTATGTATAAACCATGTGCTCTGCCTCCGACCTTGCATTTCTGTGGTCCTGCTTGCACGAAATTAATGTGGGCCTAAGGACAGACAAAGTGTGACTTGTCTAGAGACAATGAGAAGTGTGGCCGTAGAGCTATGCATGGCCATGTGGTCTTGTTGGTGGGAAGCGCAGAGACTGTCTTATCCTGAGCTTAAGACTATGGGGTCCATCTAGCCCAGTGTGCTCAAGCCTTAACTGGTAGCAGTGGTTCTCCGGACTTTTTAGACAGGATTCCCCCCCCCCCAGCTCTACATGAAGGTCCCTGGTATTCCCAGGTGGTCTCCCATCTAACTAGGAGCCAAGCTCGACCCGGCTTAGCTTCTGAATCAACATGAGAGCGGATCTGTTCAAGGTGGTTCGGGGGAATGGCCTTTGCTCTTCCAAGATAGCTAGCGCAATGGTCAACTTGTATCTGGCCTGTACCACTTTGCACTGCAGGTGGGTCTCCCACGAATAAACGCTACTTTATACTGAACAAAAGCAGACCTTTCATTCCACTGTGCGGGAATGGTCTAGCTTTTTCCCTGCCAAATCTAAAAACTGAGTTGATTCTTTTTCTTTCTTGAAGTGGATCTTGGATGGGGCTAGCTTCTCCACAGGAGCTGATGAACAAAGCCTTATTGTTTTCTGCTGTCTCCCTTGTCTTCCTTCCATTCACTGTTGATGGACTGCTGTTTGAAAACTCCATATGTTGGTTTAGATAACAGAGGACTGTTTTGGTTCTTTGATTGCACCCCCTTCCTCCCTCCCCTTCGACTCCCCGTTCAACGTGCAGATTAGTTTCAGGTTTTCTGATCCTTTTGGTTGGAACATTCAAATGCAGTTTACCGTTTAAATTAATTGCAGGCTTCAGAATCTCTTTATTCCATTCTTTCATTTGAACATGAATGTGTAGGTCAGCTCCCTGTGCATATTGATTACAGATGATGATATTAGCAGGAGCAGGTTTTGACAGCTGTTTGTTTAACCAGTAGATTATCCTCCTCTTTGTTTTCTTAAGTTCTCATTTGTTTACAAGAGCTGGAGAAGGCTCTTCTACTCTCGCAAGGCGCAATCTTGATTTAGTTAAACCTATAACACAAGTAGCCGTCTAGGTCCATTTGAACAGTTCTACAAAAGGAACGTAAAACTATATCCTTCTGTCTTCAGTTGTCTGAAGAAGTGGGCTTGTTCACGAAAGCTCACCTTAAAATATAGCAGTCTTTAAGGTGCCACAACATCTTTGCCTTCTTTATTTTTTTTAACTTTTCTTTTGTTTTTGCTGGCATGCTTAAGTTGGCTTCCACAGATTACAAGCCCTAATGTTCAATAAGATCTTTTTCTCTACCCCACATCCGGTCGTTTCTAAGAACCACCTGACATTTGAAGGGCCACAAGCGGGTTACAGTGGCCATCTGTTGATGGGACCCCCATAACTCCCAAGTGAACTTTCTATGTATGAATAGAATTCTCATCCTCCATCCCTGATCTCAATCAAAAGGGCTTGTGACTGTATCTAAATCATCATTGATACATACATCTGCAGTAAGGGTAGATTTTGAAGGCCACCGTGGCATTTTCTTTGTCCTTTCTTTTTTAAAGAGTCCCTTGAATAAATAAAAATAAATAAATAAATGTTCTCTTTTCCATTTTCTTGGAGAACAAAATGAAAAATTGGCCCAGGAGAATCAAGAGCTACGACTGCGCTATTTAGAACAAAAGCAACAGCTGGACAAATTGAAGAACCGCTTGAAGTTTTTCAGCAAAGTAAGCTATCCTCTCCTTCATTAGAAAATGACCAGAAAAGGGGGTGGGGGGTGGGCGAATGTTCTATATAGTATGCAAATGTTCCTTTCTTAAAAGCCAAAGCAAAAGAATACAAGGCTATGGCAGAGTTTACTTATTCATGATTGCCAGCAAAATGTCATGTTTTAGTGTGGATCCACTGTGTATTTTCACTCTCTCATTCCACTTATTCATTCCTGTTGGATAAACACTTGTCTCTTGAATGTCTCTGTTTCAGGAAAGCGACATTGATGTGGCCGAACTGAGCGAAGCTCTCATGCTTGCAAAGGTAACTTCTAAAAACCGTTGCACCCTGCTTTTCCTAACTCTCCCATCCACATGCAGTGTTGTTCTTGCGCTGCTTAAGTTTTAAAAGAGAGTCTTTTCTTGTGCTCCTTTCGCTGGCTTAATGCTTCTTGCGTGTCGGTTGTGGATTTCAGAAGTGTGCAGCAGACAGAAAGTAGCTGGGTAGAACTTTTTAAGCTCTGTGCATATTTCATTGCAACATCGAAAGTGAATTAACCGTAAGCCTACATGGATTTGCTTTAAAGCTTCTCTCCACTCCTCCTCTTGGGTAGACCGGTAACAGCTGCCTTTTGTCTTAGCACATTGTCCCGCTGAAGATCTGCTTGAGACAACTTTTTGTTTACAGCTTCTGATGGATATGAAAATAATTCCGTACGACATTAAAGCAGATGCCAAACTAAAATGTTACACTCTGGAAACATAAGCATGTATTTTCCTCGTATACCTGAACACCTGCTCTTTGCTTATTTATAAAAGCATTATGTGGGGAAATGCATTTTCCCCCTTGCACCTAGTTTGTAATGCTTCTGTTTACAACCCTCTTGTAGTGAAGTGGAAGAGAAAAGAATGAATTTAAAAAGGCTTCCTTTTCTGCCTTAAATATCCTCTAGTAATTCTCTTTTTTTTCCCCCCAGCCTATGCCATTTCCAGTTTTCTTAAGTAACTGTAAATAAATCAGACTTTTCTGTTCCAGTCTTCCCTGTGAATTCCCTTAACATAACAAACCTGGGTTTGCTCTGCTTAATATTTAAACAACAATAATAATGCATGAATAAATAATACTTGATATTTATATAGCTGGTAGACTGTCCAGAGTGTTTTGCATACATTATCTTATAATCATAACAGCCCTCCCAATTTGAAGCATTCTATTATATCCATGATGTTTGTAGAGAGGGGAGTTTGAAGCAGAGAGAGAAAATTGCCTCAAGCTACAATTCTGAACACACTTACTTGGGGAGTAAGCCCCAGCGAACATAGTAGGATTTAATTATGAACAAATATGCATAAGAGTGTACTGGAAGTTACCAGTGATAATGTGCAGTGGCGTCACTGGAAGGAAGAGATGCCCTCATTTGCATCTTGGGCTGTAATACGGTGTCATCTAATGATTCTGAGACTTAGGATGGCTGCTTCGGTCTTTTATCCACCAGGAGTACATCATTTCTTGTTAAAATGACAGTAAATCCCATTAAATTCACTGAAACATAGTTCTAAATAAAGATACAGAGGAACAGACTACAGGACAAGGTATTAAACAGTTCTGAGTTGCCTCCATTGGCTGGAAACCAATTAAGTTGCAACTATAGCAGGCCCACTTGAATTAATGGGAACTTACACAGTAGTTGACTCACCAAATCCCTGTTTGATTCAATGGGATGACTTGAGCGCAATGTACAACACCAAGCAACAGGATTCCGGCCACTGTCTCCACCCATTAACAAGACCGGTGGCCCAAAAAGAGATTCAGTTTAATGCTAGAAGGAGAGGAGTCTACCTTTCTCAATTAAAACGAAGCTTTCTTTTAAAAAGCCAATTGTGCAGCTGTCAAATTTTACGTCTCAGGTCCGGAAGCAGCAAGCAAGTGGAAACCTGAACTTTGTGGAGAAAGTAGAAGATGAAGTCCAGAAGGACCTGGAACGATCTATGCGTGAGCTGCAGGCAACCCATGCGGAGACCGTTCAAGAACTTGAAAAGACCCGCAACATGTTAATCGTGCAGCATAAAATTAACAAAGATTATCAGGTGTATAATTATTTTTACTGTGCAATTGGTCAGTGGTGTCTCTGTCATAGTGCTTTTTTGTAGGGTCTGATTATTAAGATTAATGATTCTGAGGTGTTGGGGAGTTTTTTTTGGTGCTAACTATAACCCCGTCTTAATTAGTTGGAGTAAATTGGACTGTGTAATTACAGCAAGTTCTTTATTCTAAGACACCAACTGAGCTGCAGCATTCACGGCTTGAAATGCTTTTACGAGCCAATCTGGAGGAAGGCCCGGATTCTTTGTGAAGTGGGTTGCTTCAATTGCAGGGGTGTTGAATGCACACACCCCGGGACCATAATTTAATTAAGCACTTGATGGACTGAAGCCAGGGCAAAAGGAATTCTAAGGAAAGCAGAGTGAAAAGGGAAGAGTAAGTCATGTGAGAATGAGGAAGAAGACCCTGTTGGGATTATATTTATCCCAATGGATCGAACCAGGATGAGATCCGATGTGGGTCTGAGTCTTTTGGATGCCCTTCCATTGCTCTTCCTAATTCTCCCTCACCATTCGGCATTCAAAACCTTCCCAGCTGCATAATTCGAATTTCCTGCCCTTTCTCCCTGCCTTTTCGCCTTCGGAGCTCTCAAAGGGCTTTCCGTCCAACATCAGAGAAAGCCCTTTGGGAGCTCCGAAGGCAAAAAGGCAGGGAGAAAGGGCGGGAAATTTGAATTTCCAGCCCTTTCTCCCTGCCTTTTTGCAGGGAGCCATTTACGAACGGCTCCATTCGCAAAAAAATGGCATTGACTTGCGAACGGAGCCTCGACCTCGTTCGTAAATTGAAAAGTTTGCATGTAGGGATGTTCGTAAGTCAAGGGTTAACTGTAATGCTTTCTTGAAGACCTTAATCTTGCACAAATGGTAAAATCTTGAAATAAGGATCTCCCCATTCACAACTTCCTATAGTAGTGAATAGAAAGGGAGTGGGAACACAGGAGCTTGCTAACGTCTCCCTCAAATGCATACTAGTAGCAGAGGAAAGCATCTCTGCGGTATCTCAAGCTCCTCCCGTGCATTACCTAGGCACCTTGCAGCTGCTGTGTGTCCACATATATGATCATTCCTTTCCCCCTCTTTACATCATCAGGCGGAAGTGGAATCTGTGACACGGAAGATGGAAGCTGTGCAGCAGGATTACGAGTTAAAGCTGGAACAATACGTCCACCTTCTTGATGTTCGAGCTGCACGTATTCGGAAATTGGAAGGCACGTTTGCTGGTACTCTGAGGAAACTTTGGGTTTGTACCTGAGCGATAGAGCAGGAAGATGGGAGACAGGCGGAAGAGATGCAGCCCAATCACCTTGCTGCATTAATTAGTTATCTCAGAAAAAAAGGAATGTTTCCATTCTGTGTTTCAAGCTGTGAGTCTAGGAGAGGGACTGTATCCTTCAGTGGTCGAGTATATACAGCTCACAAGGTCCCGAGCCCAGTATCAGCCATCTCTCTTTTGAAAGAAAGATCAGCTAGCAGGTGATGTGAAATAAGTACATCTGAAATCTTCTGATCTTACTGATCAGAGGATACTTTGCCGTATGTCATAAAGGCATTTCTGGTTTACAGCAACTTCAGAGATAGATATGTGAGGTGTTCAAAGAGTGATGTACTTTGGCCACCAATGAGTTTCTACGACTCATTGTGGATTTGATGTCAAGTCTCCCTAGTCTATCTGCTACATCAGACTGACTCTTTACTGTCTTCTGTGGACCTGTGATAAAGAGGAGCTTAGAAGAGTCACTTTTTTGGATTATAACTCCTTGATTTTCAAAGCTGTGGTCCAAAAACTGATCTTTTTTCCCCAAGCTCTGGCATGGAGGGACTGGCCGATCCCGTTGTAGGGCATTTCTGAGTGTTGGCCGAGACAAAATTTGAGACCAAAATAATGTTTGTTCATTCATGTGTTGCAGCCCAGATGAAAGATATTGCGTATGGTACCAAACAGTACAAGTTCAGACCAGAAATCATGCCGGATGATCCAGTGGATGAGTTTGATGAAACCACCCACTTGGAGCGAGGAGAGAACTTGTTTGAAATTCACATCAGCCGAGTGGTATTTTCTGATGAAGCTGCCCACTCTTTTGAGGACCGGGAGCCTGCGACCTTCTGCACCTACGCCTTCTACGATTTTGAACTCCAGACAACTCCGGTCGTCCGGGGCCTTAGCCCAGCCTATAACTTTACTTCTCAGTATCTCGTGAGGGTGGATGACTTATTTCTGCAATATTTGCAACAAAACAGTGCCACCCTGGAAATCCACCACGCTTATGGTGTGGATTTTGAGACAGTGGGAGCTTGCCAGCTTAGATTCCACGAGGTGTTGGACAAAGCCGGCCGGATCTACAGCTCAGCCATTTTAGTTGGTGAGTCTCAGATATGTGCACCTTGATTACTTATATCTCACTACTGAGCTGCAGTTATGGATTTATTCAGGTATTTCCCAGGGAGTACCCTGTTTCCCCGAAAAAAGACCCTGTCTTATATTCAGGAAAACACGGTAGTTGAGTTAGTCAGTTCCGCCAAAAATAACAGTCTTGTCCTTTAAAGTAAGAGGTTTTATTCAGCACAAGCTTTAATGGAATGCAGTTCTGCATTTGAAGAGAAGGACTACAGGACTTGAAACCTTAGCTGGTTGCGCTTTAAGATTCCACAAGATGCTTAGTTGTATTCAGTAACTTTCTGTAAGCATGATACTTGGGGTGCTGTAAGCCGCCCAGAGACCTTTGGGTAGTGTGGGCGGCATATAAATTAAATAAATAAATAAATAAATAAATAAATCATGGTGTTCTCCTTTACACCAAAGACAGCTTCATTTTTCACTTTCGTTTTGGTTTTATCAGTTCTAGGTCCCCTGTGCCCCTTTTAACTTCATGAGCACACACCATTTTAAAAAATGAACTTCTGATCATTCGTGGTTTTATTTTGTTTTTCTAGGGTTTTTTACTCCCATTTTGGGAGGCTTCGTGTGACTCTTGTTGAGTCCCAGTGGGCTAGAAATGGGCCACCAGCGCTTTAAAAAGAAAGAAAGAAATATGGCACATTTGCTGAGCATTTCATGGTAGAAGAGAGAGTTTGCTTGGATCCATGTTATCTTTCTTATGCATCTAGAAAGACACCGTACAGTACTTTTAAACTGTATTGACGTTCTATGAATTTTAGTGAAGCTGGCCCATGAATCAGTACCACTTCACTCATCATTAAATGTTCAGACTGTTAGTACCTTGTATACCCATGAAAAGGCTTTTGACATTAATAGTGAGAAATGTTTTTACTTTATCGGTGACCTGACGGAGGTGGCTAAATGAATTCTTTGCTGTTGTCATTCAAACTGATAGATTTGAGACCAGCATGTGATACAGCACTACCGAGATGCCTGGAAAACAGATTTTCATACATGTAGATCATGGATTTTGCCAGTGTTGAGGTCCGAACATTTCCCATGCAGGCCTACTCTTGTTTCAGCCAAATCCCATGAGGATATCAAGTATCCCATTATAGGCTTCATATTTATTGACTATTGATAGCTCATGACTTATTCTCCCCAGCCAAAGCTGCACTTTAAGAAAAGGGCATTAAAATATAATTGAATTGAATACCATTGGCAGCTCCGTTGCCAATAAATCAGAATTAATTTTACGCTTACAATCTTGGACTGCTTCCTTCTGCTACTCGTGTGTTTACTGAAGGCAAGCCAAAAAAGCTTGATCTCCGCAAGGTAGCAGTTTGCAAAATAATAATTTAATGTGTTTATTTGTATAAAAGAAAAGACTAGGAGAGTTTAAGAATGAGAACAAAAAAGAGAACACAAGAGTTAAGTGATTTTTAATTTTAATTTTTAATTTCTATCCTGCTTTTCATTTTAAAAAAAGAATCCAAAGCTAGTTCACAGCTACCTACAACGAAACCAATAGCAATCTTTGCTTCTTTATATCAGAGCATTGCACAATTTAAAATTATGGATTATGTGAAATATAGGTGAAATTACAAACAAATTAAAGTATTACCTTAATTAGACCAATGATGATCAAGGAATCAACAGTAAAACCAGTGCAATCCATTAAAAATTAACTAATAATTCAATATCCAAGGGTGTTAACAATTAAGGAGATAACGTTGATGGGGGAAACATCCAGTACTGGGAGTCCCCATAATTTCAGTGGAAAGGCCCTTCCATGTGGTGGACATTGCAGCAGAAAGGGCAGTTTTCACTTCGTTGTCTTACCGTTATCAAGCCAGAGGCCAGCTCCAGCTCCCATTGAAGAAACTCCAGTATTCTCCCCATCCGTTATAGGAAACATTCCCCTAGTTACACCGCAAGCCTATGCAGACAGAACATTGCCAGTCTCTGAACTGTGTGGCTAAGCAAGAGATAGGGCTGGCTTCAGTCGCAGGAGCAAAGGGATAAGAATAATCCACGTTTTCCCCTTGTATATATGGAAGAACGGAGCGTAACACAACCATTCTTTAGATGAAATAAAGATGGTAAAGGATAGTGAACGTCTCCAACAATCGTCCAAACCAAATCCAAAAGATTGTTTTCTGTTCTTCTTGTGCCAAAACTGTGACCTTTTGGAGAGAGCACGTCCAAAGCTCTGCTGGCCCACCCAAACCTCTTCCATTTTTATTAAGCATCATGTTCAATTAAAATGTATGCTGTCAGATCTTCTGCACAAGTTACTTAACAGTTTATCTTAATTTCTCCAAAGTTGAGTATGGCTGCCAGATTTTATTCTGAAGGATCAGCTTCTCTGTTCTTTGACCGAGTGTTTTATTACATAATACTGTGTACATTTTTCTGAAGATCTCTATGATTATTTGCCGCACATGGTGAATTGAGGATTAGGATCCCGCTTGTGGAAGAAACCAAACAGAGAAATGAACCATGTGAGATCCACTTTGATTGTGGGTAATGCATATATATAAATTTGCCTGAAGGCTAAACCATTGAACTATCTGATTTTGTACAATACATGGCATGTTCGATTTATAGGAGTTGGCAGAGAGATCCAGAACTATGGCACGGTGGAATACTGGCTCAGGTTACGAGTTCCCATGGACCAAGCAATCAGACTGTATAAAGAACGGGCAAAAGCTCTCGGATACATAGCAACAAACTTAAAAGATCAGGCAAGCTTCAGAGTTTTCAATGCTATTTCGTTGATACTATAGCCATTAGCTTTGTTCTGTTTCACTTCTTGTGTTTCCTTTCGAAAGGAAGGCCTTTCTAGCATTTTGTTGGGTTTTTTTTGTTCTGTGGACTTCTGGCTAGCTCAGTATTGATACTATAGCCATTAGCTTTGTTCTATTTCACTTGCTGTGTTTCCTTTTGAAAGGAAGGCCTTTCTAGCATTTTGTTGTTGTTGTTGTTGTTGTTTGTTCTGTGGACTTCTGGCTAGCTCAGTGGTTCAGCATCTGTTGGGAGCTCAATTCCTCCACTGGGCCTCCTTGACAAGAGCTGGACCTATTGGGAGCTCAATTCCCCCACTGGGCCTCCTTGACAAGAGCTGGACTCAGTTGACCCATAGGATCCCTTCTGGCTCTGCAGTTCTAAGATGATGTTGTTACACACACTCCTATACGTCATCTGCTTTGGCTTTAAATCTTTTGTGTAGACATCAGCAGCTAGATCTTACATTGTTCTCCCTTCCTTTGTTCCCACAATAATTGTACAGTGGTGCCTCGCAAGACGAATTTAATTTGTTCCGCGGTTAATGTCATCTTCTGAAAAAGTTGTCTTGCGAAATGTGTTTTCCCATAGGACATCTTCTGAAAAAGTTCTGTTTTCCCATCGGAATGCATTGAAATGTGTTTCTATGAGCAAAAAAGTCAGAACAAAGTCAAATTTGGTTTACAAAGGGTTTATTAAGTGCTCTTTAAAGCCATACATATTGTGCAAATGATTTCAAAAATTTCAATTAAAAAACTTTAACTTTTTAAACATAGAAAAACATTTAAAAACCAGCAAACATGAGGCAGGAACAAAAAAGCGTCTTGCGAGATCTTGCGAAGCATGGCCAGAGTCATCAGCCCCATCGCCAAAACCATTCGTCTTGCGAGTTTTTCGTCCCACGAGGCATTCGTCTTGTGAGGCACCACTGTATAAGGGAGACTAAGGTAAGACCGGGTGCCCAGCCTGAGATCAAAAGCATCATACGTGAGCCAGGATTTGAATGAGCTACTCCCTGCTCTTGGTGCAGGATTTCAGAGTAACCCCTGGACTACTCTAGAATGAAATGGTTCGTTTGACCTTTAGGTGCTTGCTGGTAGGTGAGTCTCTTTACAGCTAAAAGCAAAAAGCCTACTGAGCAGGCATTGATGACCATTTCCCCTCCACTCTTGTGAAAACAGCCGGCATTCAGTCCAACCCAGGCCAGCAGTTCAGCAGACGGGAACTTAAATGAACTCCACATTACAATCAAATGTTGCCGAGATCTGCAGTGCCGGAAGAGTGACCACCAACCCAACCCGTATGTGGTCTACAAGTTCTTTGATTTTGCAGACCACGACACCACCATCATTCCTAGCAGCAATGACCCAGAGTTTGCTGACCACATGTGCTTCCCAGTGCCCATGAACAGTGACCTTGACCGCTACCTGAGATCAGAATCCTTAAGGCTCTATGTCTTTGATGACAGCGAAACAGAAGATGGGGTTTACATCGGAAAAGCAAATGTGCCTTTAATTTCATTAGCACACGACAGATACATTTCAGGTAAGAAACCGTTGTTTTCACTGAAAACTCTTGAGTCCACATCATGATCAGTTGGAGTTTTATATGGTATACAGTGGTGCCCCGCAAGACGATGCTAATACATTCCATTGAAATCGCTGTTTAGCGAAAACATTGTCTTGCAAAAAGCATTTCCCCTGTTGGAATGAATTGAAATCCGTTTAATGCATTCCAATGGGGAAAATAGTCGTCGTTTTGTGAAAATCACCCATAGGGAAGCCATTTTGCAAAGCACCAATCAGATGTTTAAATTGTTGTCTTGTGAAGCATCGGCCCTGAAAAAAAAAAGTCTTGTGAAGCACGGACCAAAACATCGTCCTGCGAAAATCGCCCATAGGAAACACTGTTTTGTGAAGCACAATGGCAATCACAAAACCTCGTCGTCATACGGATTCTTCGTTTTGCGGGGTAATCGTCTTGCGAGGTACCACTGTACTAAACTTAGGCAGTAGTCCAGATCGGTGTTTCCTCTTCCAGCTCATAGGGGAAGCATCGGTATGAATACCAGCATCTATTTGCAGATGGATTGTTGCTTCTGAATTTCTTTCACACCAGCTTTGTTCTCCTCTCACACTGATACAAATGGCAAGTGCTCCAGGGTACATGCATAGATTCTTTCCACTTCCATGTGGGTTGTGCGCAAGAACTTCTCCACAGGCTATAAGACTGCTGTTTTAAACATGTAATAATTGTGGGAACTGTTTAGTCAACATGCTGAATATTAGACAAATAAACTTATGGATTTACTCGTGTACGTGCTTTTCAGGTACCTTTGAACTAACAGACTTTGAAGGCCGTTCCACTGGTACAATTGCCATTGAGTTGAAGTGGAAGTTTTCCTACCTCCAACCGGCTGATTACGTTTTAGCGACAGACCTATCAGACTACATCCAGAATGAGAAACCAGTGAAGGGTCAAGGAGAAGGACCAGTACCACCTTCTGCTTTCTCCTCGCCAGCCGTGGTATCTTGTTTAAAACTTTATTATCTAGTGTAGTACAGCTTTCTCTAAACAAAAATTAAACAGGGTCTATCATCATCCTCATTGGGAATATTTCAGGACGAGGGAGGAGAGAAGGGTCTCCTTCTCTGTAAACTTCCAAGATGGTAACCACTTAAGTCTGCTTCAGCCACAACAACAGAAAAGATTCTTATGGTACCTTAAAAACTAACCAATCCTATATGGCATAAACATTTGTGTGCTATAGTCCATGCCAAATGAAACTTGTTTGTTTTTAATTGCCGTAGGATTCATCATTTTTCTATAGACAGGTCATTCTAATGGCAGAGATAGGCAAGACAACAGCTTCACAGTTGCAATCAGAGCTCCCTTAAGGAGTAAAGGACATTGGTTTATCTTCCACCAAGACTGCACAGTTTCTCAACTTGCAGATTAGCTTGCTGGTTTGGATGATTGGTTATCAGAATGTAAACAATGGACTGCATTTGCATTTGACCGTGTAAATGAGTTCGCTTTCAAAAGTGTGTACAGTGGTGCCTCGCTTAACGGGCGCCCCGTTTAACGACGAATCCACATAGCGACAAATTCTTTGCGATCGTTTTTGCGATCGCATTGCGATGTTTCTAATGGGAAAAAATAGCTTTGCGATGATCAGTAAGCTGTTTCACTTACCGATTTTCGCATAATGATGATTTCCCAACAGCTGATCGGCGGTTCCAAAATGGCCGCTGGGTTAAAAAAAAAGGCCGCCTGCTGTGTTTTCGCCCAGATTCCTCGTTTTTTTATTTCGCATAGCGATGAATCCGTATAGCGACGATTTTGGCTGCATGGATTATCGTCGCTATGCGGGGCACCACTGTACTTGAAAGAATAAGGTGTCACCACTCCCTGATTGTGATGCTTCTGATTCATCTCTTTCACCTTAAACAATCCCAGCTTGTTATGTAATGATGATGCTCATCTTGATTCAAGTTGCTTGTTCCTTAGAGGCCCCAGCCTAAGCCAAGGCGGCGCACAGCAGCAACGGACAAGAAGGTGTCGTTTGTGGGTGTGGCCACGCTGCCGGATTCAGTGAGTGTGCAGTTTCTCATTATGCACGGTCTTGGGTAGCTCAGTAGATTAGGAGTCTGGCTAGAGAGCCAGAGATTGGGAGTTCAATTCCCTTCATGCCTCCCAGGAGAGAGAGCCAGCCTGGGTGGCCTTGGATAAGCTGCACTGTCCCAGTGTGCCCCCTAGAGGAAGGGAAGGGTAAATCATTTCTGAGTAGCCTCTGTCTTTAAACCCTCAAAAAGGATCACCCTAAGCCAGAATTGACTTGAGGGCACATTATTATCATTATTAGTATTGTGATGGTTCTGTATGTACTGAGCCCATTTTTATATCAGTGTAAAGTTGCATTTAAACCCCAGCTGTTCATTAAGTTTTTTAAATCTTGTATTGTGTCAATGTTGTTAACATACTTCTTCCATCCACAAAAGTGGGTTAGTGAAAGGGAAGTCAAAATCATTGAGCATACACTTCCGCAGAACTAAGCTGTACTCCCAACTCCTTCTACTAGAGTTCTGAACAGCAAAATATTTGGGGGTTTCCCCTCTCATTCAAAGGAACGCTGCAGTGAAAGATTCATAGCCTCTGGTCTCAGACGGAGAATACGGTGACCTTTGCTGACCTCCTAACCATGATTCAAGCATCAAGAGAAGTCTGAAAATAAGGAATATTTGTTTAGTTAGATATCTTTAAAAAAAAAGATTAAGATATGAAGATTAAAATGTAACACATAGCAATACCTGAAAAGCAAGATTAAGATGCATTTAAAAACCTGGGTGAAGCCAATCGTGTGTATCGGCTCCTGACAGATTAGCAGTCCTGAAACCTGATCCACTTCCTTAGAGAAAGAATTTCACTGCCTCCACTAGAAAAACTCCACTGTAAAGCAAACATAGGCCCAATTACCGCATGTCACCAATGAACATTTAGAATGTGAAATGGATATTTCATAGGCATTTCATTTCATTCTCGCTCTTAATGTCTGCCGAAGTGGACGTGTCCATGAAAGCTTACATTAAAATTCAATGGTTAGTCTTTAAGGAGCCACCTGTTTTTGCCCATGTTTTGTATTGTGCCATTTCTTTGGATTTTGCCTGAAATGCTCCATCAGAAGGATCTCTCTCTGTTATCTGTATTCTTTACCTTGTTTAGGATAACGGTTGGGTTGACTTCGGATACTTTGATTTCATGATATGCGTAATACACAACCAACCTGTTAGATCTCTTGGTGACCTTTTATGGGGGGAGAGGGGGTATTCATGTTAACCAAGGAGTTATCTCTTTTGAATATATATAATAACTAGAGAGGTGTAAGCATGTTGACAGTAAATACATCTAAGAAAACAAGGTCACCATAAGCTCTTCTTAGCTGTTTTACTTATTACAAAACTTAAGAAACCCTCCTCTGTATTTCAATCCTAACAATTTAGAGTCCTCTTCCTGAAAAAGAAAATAAAGAAACTGAGCAGAACATGAAAGACGAAAAGCTCATTGTTTCAGACATTCCAGAGGTATGAAACAGTTTACATTTTGCCAAGTTGTCAGCCAATTTAGATTTTTATTTTCCCATTTGAGTGGAGCTGAAAGCATTAACTGATTGTGCGATCAAATAATTAATTTGGAGTTTGAAACACTGGTTTTTCATTTCGTGTCAGAACTATACCTTTTGAGTAGCTGACAGTATTTCTAGAAAATAATCCTTTATGTTGTCAGGTGCGGAAATTGCTTATTAGACAACTGTTTTCACAAGAATCCACCACTGGTCTGCAGGGTCAATTAATAGTAATCTAGGATCCTGGTTAATTATGCTCAAGACAATCACCACAGTGATCTGACCTATTCTTGAGTGCCATCTTGAATCTTAAATGCAGGATTACTAATCCTTTCAAAAGATCTCAGCGGTGGGGATAATAGTGCAAGCAATGTAGTGATGTGTTCCTGTCTTTGCTCGCAGATTGACCAGGCGCAGGAAAAATTAAAAGATTTGACAAGGTGTCTCCACTTAAAGCCGTTTTCTTCCTCTCCTCTATGGAGTCTCCATTTCACAGGCAGCTCAGAAGTGCGTGGCAAAACCCTGACACGTTGAATGCCTTGGTGAATAGTTTTATACAGGTTTACGAGACATGTCATGTTACATATTCAAGAACCAGGAATGCAGTGCCAAGATAGATTAGGGCTCGTGGAATCAGCTTCCATTGCAGTTCCACTGTGCGGGATACGGTCCATGTTAGAATTTGTCTTCCAGGAGCAAAGCATTCTTAATGCAGGTGTATAGGGTTGAAAATTCTCACACGTGTAATCGGAGTATAAAACTAGATGTATTTAACCATGGCAACAATGCAGGAGCTCTTGCTTGGCCCTTCGTTTCTAACCCTTGTTATAAAAGTTGTGAAACTGAGCTTTGAAGCTATGTAGTTTGGAAGTGGCACCTTTAAAAGTCACCCGTTTCAGTGATTTTTAAGACACTTCTTGGATTGATCAGTCAATTCAGTCAACACACTCCAGAGGTGAAACCCAGACATGTCAAAAAGTGAAGATCCAAAGGTAAAGTCCATAATTCTTTTAAAACATTTGCATGCTTAGTGTTTTTAGCTTTTGAATGTTTTTTTAATGCTATAAGCCACCTTGGGTCCTTTTAAAAGAGAAAGGTGGGGTTAAAATATTTTAAATAAATAGTAAACAAATAGACATGAAACAACTCTGGCTCACCAAAACTAGAGTTGTTTTGATTATATAAAATTTGTAGATAAAATTTTTGATCTCACTGCTTTCAGTAAAAATGTGGCTAGAGTTACTGCTGTTTTGTATCAGACTGTTTTGTATCAGACAAAAGGAAGAAGACATAATATCCTGCTGTTTTCCTAGATATAGGATTAACAATGCACTAATCTGCTGATTCTGGAGATTGTGATGAAAGTTACAGAAGACTAAGACATGATTTTATAAACTTTCCATTTATTCTGAGCCACAAGGGCCTAATCTGTTAAAACAGAGCTTCTCACGAAACCACTCTTCCCTTAAAACAAAATGAAGCCCGACCTACATAGCAAAAATTCGACCTTCACCCTGCTCCCCGAAAAATGAAATTACTATCAAGGCATCACCTGCGAATGTTTCTATAATGCTTCTCTTGCTCCAGACCGAACCAGAAACACAAGCAGATGAGAGAGCGAGGGGATCTACGGCCAACATGCAAGAGGACCAGGAAGAGCTTGCTCAGCTCTCCGAAGGTCAGTTTGCTGACCAGAGTTCTGTGTCTTCGGGAGACGAAACTGAAATTACTGAGGAATTGGAACCAGGAGGTAATTATCTGCTTACACAAGGCGCCCCTGCCTCGCTCCTTCTTAAACATATGGTGTTGACAGCAGCAGTAGTTTCAGCAGAGGGAGCGTTGTTTTGATCTCCTTTCCAGCAAAAGCCAAGTCGGGGCCGTTGGCGTGTTAATCTAAAACAATAACTAGCAGCTTTGTATTAATTGGCTAAGGAAGGAGAGAATCCCAGCTCCAAGCTAGTTCCATAAATATTAAAGGGAGCTGGCTTCTGTTTTAAAAAATGACTTTATATTTCTCCCTTTAGAAGAGAGGTTCATCCCTTAGAAGAGTGCTGTTCTGAAGAATATTTGAAAGCATTGCGTCCCTTTTGTCTGCTGATAGCAGGCGCCCGTAATGTCAAGAAGATGTGGGCGGAGGGGCCGGGCGTTCAGGCAGAGAGAGACTAGTGGGTTCCCCCTCACATCTCTCTGGATGAAAGGTGTCCATGGCAGCTCAAGGCAAAGAATGTAAAAATCCCAGATTATACAGCCGCTCTGCTTTTGTTATAGTTTACTGTCCAGCCAGTAAGAGGAGAGACCTTCTAAGGCCCTTGATGTGAAGCTGCCTTTGACAGGGTGAAAAATTTATTTATAGCAAAATTCGGCTGTCCGGAAGCCCTGATGATGTGCTTCCTGCTGACACTTTTTACATTACTGAGCAGCAGAGATGGGCCTTCTCAGTGCACTGGGACCAGAGTTACATGACTACGTTCCACCTGGCTTGCAAACAGCCTATCACAAGGCTTTCACGCTTAGCTCTTTATTCTGTTCCCTTCTTAATAAATATTGAATAGATTGCGAGATTCACCCTAATTTTTTCTTAATAACTGGCAGCACCCGTCTGATGTGCAAAATTGTAATTGGTGTCATTCGTCTTCCTACTTGTTTCATGAAAATATATCCTTGGAAAACTCATCAATACTTCAGTGCTACTGAAGCCAGAATTTCTGTTCAGGCTTCAGCTGAAATAAATGGAGGTGTCAGCAAGGAGAGCAGGTTAATTGCAGAACAACAACCCAAAGCATAAATCGCCATGTGTCAGTAATGTTCTGTTGCTTGTTGAGCTATTATGGCATTTTTGCCATTGGAATTTTAAAAATGGACCCATGATTGTAGAAGGAGAACATGGCCCCGCTCATCCATATACATTCATCACTTGATAATCTTATAAAGAGTCAACACCATGAACAGTCCTCTGTGTTACTGTAGTAATGGACAGATGTAATGGGTTCCAGGTTAATTACCCTTCCTGGGATCTTTCAGAAATGCATCGAGTTACCCTAGGAGAGTGATTAGGGAAGTGGGGGGTGGGAAGGGACAGAGGGACAAGAACTGCATTTTTCGGAGGGAGGGACACACACACACTGTGTCCACACCTATTGTGGACACAATGTTTTCCATGTAGTTGGTGCAAGTGCTAACTGCTGTCACTTGTCAAAAGTAGAGTATTCAGATGCAAAGAAAAGGAATGCTAATTCTGCATTTGGAAACTCGGTTCATGGCTCTTTACTCCCCATGTACCAAAAAAAAGCTCTGTTCATATCGTTTGTGCAAAAAGCTATTCACAGAGTGGCGATGATTAGCATTCTCTCCTTCCTTCGAAACATTAACGGAATGATTGCCCCTCTGGGAATGCAGTCTCAGGGTAACTGCTGGGAAATAAATTGTTGCTGACCATTTCTACTTGGGGGGGATTTTATTATAAATGCTTTGGGTGCCCACCGGGTCGTGGGTTAGCAAACATTCATATAGCCATCCAAGAATCTATTTGCATACTTATGATGGTCCCAGAGAGAATGCCATTCTAAAATTTTGCCAGGGAACCTGAGCTGGTGGCGAAGTCATAAATCATCATTACTTCTGCACAGGAAGAACAAAGATGGGATAGGCGTTATCCCTTTCAATTTATGAGTGTGTGCAAACAAGTGGGGGCTACCAAAAGAGTAGCTTTACTGGAGGGAAGCCAGCCATATTACATAGATGCCACCTTAGCCACGGGAACTGGTGGGAATGAACGTAGAGGCCGCTGCAGCAAACCGCTCAAGTGGGGTAGGCCATCCCTAAAAGCAGAGCAGCCCAAACACATTCCGAGTCAACCGAGTTTATGTCCGTCCTCCAGCTTTATTTAGAGATTTACTGCTAAGTCTTTGGATTTCTCTTAAAAAGGACCTCTTGCTGTGAGCAACTTGGCAAGGCCGCATCTCTCCAGGTGCCGGCTGCAAACAAAAGGAGGTTGGTTTGGTAGACCGTTTAACAATCCTTGATTGGCCAGTGTCCTGTTGTGTCTGTAAGGAAGAAAAACCATCTCTCCTGCTGATTGTCTTCCTTAGCTTCTTACAATGCCCCCGGCCCGTCTTGTTCACCACTCTCCACTGAACGCCCTTACAGGGTATTAACTTCCTGTTTATTTGTTGCTGTTCTCCATGTTTTTGGCAGCAGAAGAAGATGACAGAGAGAGGATGGATGCTGTCGAATCCGTAACAGATAGTGATGACTGCATTGTTCCAAGTCCCGTGTCCGCGAGCCTCAATCAGGTTTGTTGGGAGTTTTGAGGATAATTCTTTTGGGTATTCTCAGTTGCCTTTTAAGATACTGATGTCCCTATATGATATAAGACAAAAGGGAGGTGAGCAGAGTGCAGTCCTAAAGCCCTCACAGGGCCACCCAAGACTGGTTTTGCCCTCTGCAACCCTTCCCCAGCCCCCTCCTTTTCCAAGAGTGTACAGTCCAGCTGTACCCCCCCAAAAAAAAACCTCTGGGAGAAGTGATGATTCCCCTCTTAAACAGGTCACAAGAGCCCTGCACTGTTTAACGGTAGTGGGTGGAACATGTCCCTAATATAAAGACAACCTCATAAAACAACAAACCATGATTTGTGGATGGTGTTTGGGTGTGGGTGTTGTTTTTGTTGGGGTGGGTAGGGAAGTCCTGTCTCTATTTATTTGTGTGTTGTTAGGTCATCTTTCACAATCTGGCCTTAATTTAGCATTCCAGAGCGTGCCTGCAAATAACGGGTGCCAGCCTAATGATGGTCTTCGAGCAGCAGCTTAAGAAAGTAATGTGTTTGCAACATCTCGGAGTGCACCCAGCTGCATTAAGCAATGTTTTGCGCTTGATTGGCTTCTTGTCTATTCATCATGCCGCACCAGGATTTTGAAATGCTGCCACTTCTCCCAGAGAGAGAGAGAGAGAAATTATTTTAATAGGTGGAACTGTATTATGATTAACTGCATATTCAATGCCATCAAATTCTTTTAAGCTGGAACAATGTGAGCCAAATAGGAAAATTACTCATTGCCAATGAGCCTTGCAAAAATACAGCTGGGTCTACAAATCTCTGGCATTGTTGCACTCGATTACAACCAGAATGATTTAAGAAGACTTAAAGAATCTTGGAGCTTGAAAGAAGGTTAGCATGGGGGGAACATTTACGCCTGCCTTTCTCCGCTCATCTGATTATGAGGAAATGTAGTGACTCTGCTTATGGGAACAAAACTCTTAGAACATCAGGGTAGCTCCCTGGGATTCAGTTGAGTGTTTCATAAGCCCCACTCACTTCAGCATCAGAAGTAAACTGGTGTACAAAGACGTTATGCGCCCTGTATTGTTACGATAGCTGTTAATCTGTGATAATAGAGTGGTCTCAACTGACCAGATAGGCGGGATATAAATAAATAAATAAATACATCAATCAATCAATCAATCAATCAATCAATCAATCAATCAATCCTTCAGCATGACCTATTCCCCCTTGATAAGATCCTTTAAAAGGCCATGTTATGTTCCCCTTGCTGTCAACAGAAAAGGCCTTGAATGCACAGAAGCTTCTGTAGGTTAGTACAAATGATGCGCTAGGACCCTCTCAGGAGCATTGAGTTGCCTTGAATTGAAAGCACTTGGTTCATAGTAATGGAGATAATCATGCCAGAGTTAACCACTTCTGTAAGTCCGATTGATTTCAATAAGGCCATACTAAAATATGTTGCCATTATCCTGTTGAACAGCACTTAAGCAAGCCTAATGTAGACTTAGTCTAGAAGCAAATCTTGTTACACACTTAAGTTGAAGAGCAATCTAAAAAAAGTGGGAAGAGACTTGTTTCCACCTAATTTAACAAAAAAAGCATGCTGCTTGTATACCGCCCCATAGTGCTTAAAGAACTCTCTGGGCTGTTTACAAGTTAATTACATAGGTTACACATTGCTCCCCCAGCAAACTGGGTACTCATTTTACCAACCTTGGAAAGATAGAAGGCTGAGTCATCCTTGAGCCGGCTACCAGGAATAGTACCCCAGGTCGTGAGCACAGTTTTGGCGAAGACAGCAGTGTAACCACTGTGCCACGAGGCTCCTAATAGTTGGAATCTTTAATCTACACTGAAGTTCTAGTGTTCAGGATGGCATTTTATGCTGATGCCTGATGTATTAAAATGATATTTATTTCTTCTGTGCTCCCATTCAACACATAAATGTTTTTCCAAGGTGATATACAGTCACTGTAAAAACATGTTAACGCTCAAATGTAAGAAGCACTAGATTGATCACAGTTGCACACTTAATTATTTAAAAACTGGCCGATCCTGTTTAACTAGATTGAGATAGTGGGTACTGTAAAAACATGTTAAATAACCTAGATATCTAAATATTAATACTCCATTGTAATAAGCACTAGATTGATCACAGTTGCACACTTAATTATTTAAAAACTGGCCGATCCTGTTTAACTAGATTGAGATAGTGGGGAAAAAACTATTTTACAACCCACCTAAAGGGAAATAAGAAAGGAAGTCAGACATCTCTCTTGGGAAAGCAAGTAGCACACGTTGGTTGGTTGGTTGGTTGGTCGGTCGGCTCCATTGTAATAAGCACTAGATTGATCACAGTTGCACACTTAATTATTTAAAAACTGGCCGATCCTGTTTAACTAGATTGAGATAGTGGGGAAAAAACTATTTTACAACCCACCTAAAGGGAAATAAGAAAGGAAGTCAGACATCTCTCTTGGGAAAGCAAGTAGCACACGTTGGTTGGTTGGTTGGTTGGTCGGTCGGTCGGTCGGTGCCAGACATCTCTCTTGGGACAGCAAGTAGCACACATTGGTTGGTTGGTTGGTTGGTTGGTCGGTCGGTCGGTCGGTCGATTGATTATTTGATTGATTGATTGATTGATATACCGTCCATCTAGCAATTGCTCCACCCAGGATTTTATAAATATGGGGAGAACAGAAATGGCCACATCTCTTATGCTCACCAGTCAAGATGATTGGAGCCTCTAGCTCTTCTTGGCTTCCAGAGAAATTCAGACAAGTACAGACACTTGTGGGTTCAAGTAGCCCAAACCATTTAAGGCTTAAATTCAATATTAATAAGTTTAAACATTAAGAACCCCTCCATTCTGTGAACTGCACCAGCCCGTTCATGTTAGTGACCCTGACTTCAACTGGTAGCATCTTTGCATGCTCTCTGAGCCCCCGTGAGTGTTTTAGAGAATAAACATAAGCATTACATGCTGCTCTAGTGTGTACACACACACACACACACACACACACACACACACACACACACACGCGGATGCTTGTAGCCAAGGGACTATATGCTTGTAAAATCATCAGCTTCATTTTCAGGTCTAATCTGTGTATTCTGGCAATACTCTCGCATCCGAGATCGTAATCTCTGTGTGCCATTGCTCCAGAAATACCTGTTTGGTTTGATGAAGAAACAAATGAAGCTGAACATTTTTTTGTTCAAGATCCAGCTGCTTATTTTTTATCAGTGAGATAAATACCCCTAGGGCACTCCAGGCTCTGTAAACAAACCGTCTGATTTTATTTAGAGCTTGCCTTCCTAATTACCCCGTGAATCCCAAACCGCACATCACATGGTTCAAGCCACTTAAGATTAAGCTGTTCCTTTTTCACAGGTTGCAAATCAGACCATCCATGGTTATTTCTTAGATATGTTGATCATAAAAGGAATCTTAACTTTTTTTTTCCACCCAGGATTTAGCTATGCAACTTGGTTTTCTCTCTCTTTTTCTTCTTGTCTGTTATGTATAATTAATCATAGATTACTTCATTTTGTTTCATTCCATTTACAACATTTATGAGCTTCGCTTTGTCGGTAGGAAATGCTTGTCCCCTTCTTTTTCCTTTCCAAAGTGGCGTAATTAGTGTTAGCATCTTTTTTAACAGGCTACATAAAGTTTAGTGGCTGGATTAAATCATGTCATTAACATAATGTGCTATACAATTTGCCCCTATCTCTCTTCGTTTCCACTACATCAAAGTGCCACAGAGTGCCAACGTAATTGGGCCTTGCTAGCTTGTCAGGTTGAGTCAAGATGATGACTGGTGTTTTTTTCTAAAAAAGCTTCTAGGCATGATAATTAATGGAAGGGGGAGGAAAGAAAAATCAGAAAAATGTAAAACTTTGGACAGTTCTTTATGAATATTTCATACATTTGAATAATCAGAAGTTAACATTATCAATTTGATGTATAATACATTGATTAAAAGCCTTGTTACAGGCCCTCAAAATAGACATCAGAACTGGAAATTTGCATTTGCTTTTTTTTTTAACGAAACGTCTAAACTGGAAGTAACATAAAATTAACAATTGCTTGTTCTCATCCCTCTACCTCTGCACTTCATCATTTTGAGTACTAATTTAACTTTCAATTATCACAATAATTTTTTACTGCTGTCACCTCTTAAGTTATCTACAAACGCGCCCACAAGGCAAATCTTAGAAAAACCAATTTATTCCATGGTGGTCTCATTTTCCTCTAGGTGTGTTTACATCTTTTCTCCTCCATTACAGACAATCTTTGTCTGCTTTGCTTGCACTAACAGCAGTTTAGTGAACACTGTCATAGTCACTTTCCTGAAATTAAGATCTTAGGGTTCTTAATTAATTTTGACATTTGGCATTCTTTAAAGAGCACGAGCCAGGATTTCCAGGTGGCTCAGTTTCTACTGGAGAGAACCACATGTTCTTTGAAAATAAATAAATCAATAAATAGAACAAGCCCAAACAGATAAAATTGGAGGAGGAAAAAATAGCTACCTTTCGTCATTTGTTGGTGTTGAGTTGTTTTTTGCTTGTTTGTTTTAAGGATCCACTTAAGCTGAAGATGAGCAGGTGAACAGAACCATAACACAGGCTGTTAGTGGTGGAGAGGGGATAATTTAAAGTTGTTGGAAATAATTGTTGGATAGCTCAATGGTGTCTGCATCTGACTGCCGAGCCAGCGGTTGGGAGATTGACAGGGACTCCTTGACGGAGGCTGCATTCAGTGATCCATAGGGTCCCTTCCAGCTCTGCAGTTCTAAGATTGTATTATATTATACAACAAAAAGAATCTGCTCAAAGATCAAAGATTCTACATTGGACGGCCGATGAAGAAAGTGTTCCTCGTAAGGATTTCCTCCCTAACCCTGCACTCAGTTATGCAATGAAAAAATATGTAATTCTCCATCTTAAATCATGTATGGACCTTCCATCCCAGGCCATTCTTCAAAAATGACTTGTCCTTGGAAAAGATAGAAGAGAAACCAAGTCTCCAGATATTCAACAAACACCCCCCTTTCTTTCTTTCTTTCTTTCTTTCTTTCTTTCTTTCTTTCTTTCTTTCTTTCTTTCTTTCTTTCTTTCTTTCTTTCTTTCTTTCTTTCTTTCTTTCTTTCTTTCTTTCTTTCTTTCTTTCTTATTTTTTATTTTGATTTAATAGGACTAACACACTTCACCCAGTTAATTATTTGATGGCCGTGAGTGGCAATAATATTAAGAATTACTAAGATTTGTGACAGCCTTGTTCCATGGCACTTTGAAACCTAATTTTCTAAAATCTTGAGTCTTAATCTCTGTTTCGTATTAGGCTTCCTCGGCTGCTTCAAGTTTTCTTTCATTTCTTTGAACTGCTGCACCCCAGTATTTTACCATGATGGCTGGTGGTACATAAATAGATCATGCACAGCTAAAAAGGAAGTCTAGCTTTTTATCAATATATCCTTGATTATGCAACTGTTCCTACTAGGAAATTGGACTCTGTCTTATGAGTAGGGGGGTAAGGAGATGTGAGGTCTTAGAAACTAATTCTGGGAGCACAACAAACCTACATTTGATGAGATTGAAAGCTTTTATGTTTGTTTTAAAATAAACTACAATACCCCATTACGTCTGAACCCAGTAAACTGTGATTTATGCTAACTATGATTAGCTCAGACAGACTAGGATCATACTATTGTTTCAGATTCTTTTTCAGAAACATTCAATGCCGAATCAGCTAGTTTCCTGAGTTCAGATGTAAAGAACAATTGTGAATTATTTAAAAAATGGAAGTGGATAGTAAGGTAAGGTGTACTCAAGACTCACTGGGTTTTGTTCCCATTCTGATAAACCATTGTTTAGTTCTGCATTTGGACCGTTGTGAATTCTGCAAGTCAGTACAGCTTTTTCCACTCACTTCAAAGGTCTGTACACTGAGTCTGTGCAGGACCAGGGAGTCGCTGTAGACAGACGGTCCATCTAGCTCAGGATTTCTACACCAGTGGTAGGCAACACTTAGGGGGCAGTGCTTTTTCACTGGCACCCCTCACGTCAGCCCAGTTGTGTCATTGCCACTACCAAATTTGGGAGCGGTATAGATGTATAGATAGGGACGGTATAGATCCTGTGGCAAATACTCTGATATTGGGAAAGTGTGAGGGCAAGAGGAGAAGGGGGCGAGCTATAGCGCGCGCGCGCGCGCACACACACACACACACACACGCAATGTTTTTGTGAGTCTCTACCAGCATTCCTTCAGTAATGTTAGATGGGAACAAACAAGCAATGCTTTTGTGAGTCTCTCTAAGAACTCCTTGATAACATGGCATAAGCCTGTCCCCCTTATTGTTGTCATTGTTAGGACCGCCCTTCCAGCCCCCCTACAAAGCCTTCTTGCTTATTTGCCTTGCCGTTTCCTATCTTACAAACCTTTCCCATCCTTGCTTGACATAAAACAAGCACCACCTGTTTTTTCTTTGTGCAATGTTAAGAGGTCCTTGATCCATGTGCTTCCTCCATTTGGACTTCATTTATAAGCTGCCATCTCGGCACGAGCCGGTTTTGACAGCCCAGTTCAACATTTGGAGCGGAATTACTCAGAATATCACTTAAAATTGCTCCTCATCCATCTTTCCGGTGGAAGGGAGAAAAAGGAGTTGTTTCTAAAGTAAAATTAGACAATAGAGGCAATTTCATTTTTTATGCATGGGAATGTAGAGTGCTTGAGGTTATTAGTTGAAACTGAGTAACCTTTGCAGGCTTTCATCTCTTTCTTTCAAATTTGAATATGAAAAGCATATTCAAGTCAAAGACCATCACTTTAATGACATTTGGCAGTCATTTGATTTATTAGGTTTTTAGGAAAAAAAATTCCTTTAAATATTTCATCGTACTATGCTAATCCTAGTAATATTGCCTGCTGAAGCCGTGTACCTGTATTAGCGGAGACAGAATGGTGTGGAATTTTCTCTGTCATCGTAGTAAAATTTCCATGAATCTACTGAATAATAAAACAACCTTATTGAAATATTCAGATTTGGGTTTTTAGTTAAGGTATCTTAGGATACATAATAAAAGGAAATGCCTTTTGAAAGGGGTGTGAGTAAAGTTACTTCATCAAATATTGAAGGGGGTTGACAGCAGTGGGTATTGTTCCATATGAAGGAGATAGATAGATAGATATGTTTATTTACACTGGAATACTCAGGGCTTTTCATTTGATTAATTATAGAATATAGTCCTGAAAACGCATCAATTGCCATGTTGAACTTGAATATTGTTATCGATTTTATGGTTTGAATGTCAGCCTCTAGAAACTCCATCTCCCCCTCCTCTTTCTCTCTCTCTCTCTTTTTTTGTAATTACCACCACAAGGTTAGTAATTTGAATTTACAACCAGAAAGGGTTCCTTCCGATCCCACACTGGAGAAATAGTCTTTTAATGTAGAAGGGGAACCATAAAGAGAAAAGTTAAAGAAGAACTTGACAGTTGAGAGCGGCAAGGTGCTCCGTCTGCTCTAATCTCCCCCTCCTCTTTCTCTTTCTCTCTCTTTTTTTGTAATTACCACCACAAGGTTAGTAATTTGAATTTACAACCAGAAAGGGTTCCTTCCGATCCCACACTGGAGAAATAGTCTTTTAATGTAGAAGGGGAACCATAAAGAGAAAAGTTAAAGAAGAACTTGACAGTTGAGAGCGGCAAGGTGCTCCGTCTGCTCTTTGAAGAGCAGAATCTCATCCTTTGAATGTTCTTCTGTGTAGTCTAATTTTGGTATCACAGTGATTATGCCTCCTTTGAAACCACTGACTTATTCAGGAGAAAGTATGTCTGCTGCCTTGCTAATATTTGACATGAAGAAAGGGGTGGCTTTTCCAAGCCATAAATGCAGTTGGGTGCGATTCGGTATGCAAGCACATTTTTGGCACGCAGAGAGATGACCTTTCCTTGTTGTCTTAAGCTTAGCGAAGCAGTTTCAAGAGTGTATCCCTATGGTGAATAGGGCATTTTACTGCATCCAGCAGTAAAGCCCATACCCTTCATGTTGCACTAAGGGTACACTCTTCTTTTAAGCAGGAAGAAAAAAATTAGCATAGACGTGAGATGTGTGTCACCACACATTTTGGGACAGATGTTGGGCCTGCCAATGGCTATCTGCATTTCCCAAATGTGTACTGTACTAGTTACATGTTTAAAGTTAACAGCCCTCCCCGGGTGACTTGATACGTACATGGATGCTTTTGCATCCAATTGAAATTATAAAGGAGGAGCATAAAATGATTTTTGTTCAGATTTGGGGACCTGTACCTGATCAACAAGTCTATTCATCTTGTTGGCATTTCTTATTTCTGTTTGTTTTAAATAGTCTGCTGATAAAATCCGGGTTGAAATAGTCTCGCTCAGCCTCACGGACAGCCAGATTGCGAGGGATGACACCATACAGCGGCTGTTTGTAGAATGCAAGATCTCTACTTTTCCGGCTTATGAAACGCCAGTATCGCTTCCGAAACCCAGGATTGGACAGTGGGTCTACTACAATTACAGCCATGGTACGTCTTCATTAAGTATATATCTTACTGTTTTTTTTAAAGTTACTCCTGTTTGATCTGTCTCTTTTTTTTAAAGTGATTCTTTTAAAAAGAAATACCCAAAAGATATTTGTGAATTATAATTACATGCAGGATCTCTGAGGGGTAGCCCAAGGTTTCATCTTCATTACACTCCTCCTTTCCATGATAGACAACTCATTGTCCTCAGAAAACACATAAGCATAGATAACAAAGAAGCAACACGGCTAGCATTTGGGACATTGGTAGGAGATGATAACTGCCTTGGAGATAGGAAGCATTTGGTTTTCAGAACAACACCTCTCATTGGCCATGCTGGCTGTGAGATTCTGGGAGTTGTAGTTTCTTTTCCCTTCTCTCCTCCCACTCTTCTGTTGTCAGGGAATAAACAGAAGAGGGTCTCTCAATGAACAGGTTGGCTTCCAGGATGTTCGCGAGGATGAAAACTAGCTGGCATTATTTCATCATTTTGTTTGCAACTGAAAAATCATCCTTAGAGGAAATTGTGGACGAGGGCAAGCCAACGAGGAAGCAGCAGTTGGCAGGTTGTTCCTCCAAATCGTTATTTTTTAATGTAACACCAGAGTGTTGTGTATAAGCCAATGAGTGTCAGGCCATCATAAATGTCGATGGCCGATTGTCATGCTGCAAAGTAGCGAAAACATTGGTGAGTTAATAAATCCACAGGATTAAAACAAATGCACCAATATTCGGGCATTCCCTGTAAGAAAGTTTACAGTTAAACTTTGATATGCCTTTGGAATGCAGATAGTAATGTTGCAGTATATTATTATATCCGATGGGAATGAAGCTGTTCTCATCCAGCTTGATTCATTTATAACCATAGTCATTTTTCAGGCACTATAGAAAGGCTCATGGTGACATTTTTTAAAAAAAATCTTAGATTTCCAAAATTATTACTTCGCAGTTTGAACCTGAATGATGGAACGTGCCTTTTCGGGTTTATTTATAATTTTACATTTAAAAAATTGATTTGATTATTCATTTCTCCCACTTTTGGAACTCTTGTTTGTACCAATGTTTTGAGTTCCTTTTGTGACATGTTTCAAACACAGAATCCGTCCACGGATTTATTTATTCATTCATTCATTTGTTCCAAATGTTTTTATAAACCACCCCAAACTGCCGTTTTCTTCAGGGCGGCGTAGATATTTAAAAACAAAAACAATCACTCTAACCACACATTTTACAATGGAAAGAGGTGAGCAGCCAAAACGGGATCGAGATATTGAAGTATTTAAATGTTAAGATCCATCCATCCATCCATCCATCCATGGATCGAGATATTAAAGTATTTAAATGTTAAGATCTATCTATCTATCTATTATCCATCCATCCATCCATCTGGCAACCAGGCCACTTTGGGTGGCTAACAGCAAGACAAACAACACAGTATCAAAACACAATAAAAATAAAATAATAAAAACATTCAACTGATACAATAACTAGTAGGATAAATTAAAATTAAAATAGTAATAAAGTCAGAATGTGTGTGTTTACTATGGCTTTACTTTGTTTCTTATTCACGCCTAAATTAAAACAGATGGCTATGATGATGATTAAAAGGATGATGTTAACATAAAAAAGTAGCTGGCTTTGGTAGACATAACTCGAAGTTGAAGGTTTTAACATATCGCCTATATGCTACTAATGACAAAAGCAGGTGGTGCTCTCTTGGAAGAATGTTGCACCAGTAAGTGGCCTCTACTTGAGAAGTCTTCTTACTGTGATAGTATCCGTTACACCGTTGTGAGTGATAGCACCTAAAGAAGGCTGTCTGACACCAACCAAGTTAATCAGGCAGAAACATATGGGAGCAAAGGACGTTGTTACCTTCTTGGTTGCGCTCTCTAGTGGGGATGCTGCTTTTGAAAGGTGCTATTTTATTATACTTTGATGCCAGTGAAATAGTTCAGGTACCCTGAAGTGACTGTGCTTGACTTTAAATCAGGAATGTGAGAATTTGACTCTTGACTTACCCAAAACCCATGGCTATTTAGAACATCTAAGCTTTTGAGGCCTGTTTCAACGATCTGGTGGGCCATCTTGCTTTTGTACTTCACCCTGATTATGTGGCAATCTGGGAATTAGACATTTTTCATAATTAGTCTTATAACTGGCAATACTTTATAAACTCTTTTGGAAAATACTTTTTCCCATAATCGTCACAACCTCGTAAGTTAAAACTCGTTTCCAACTTGGCTCCTTTGTTTTTCCTAGATCACTCCTTAAATAACTGGCCACCTGATTCTCTGTTCCATGCCAGTTTTGCTTGTAAGTGAGCACCTTCTCGGGCAAACGCCCTAATGAATTTGCTGTTTGATAATGTCAGTGAGAAAGCCAATAATCTAATAGTAATGAAGTCAGAATGTGTGTGTTTACTATAGCTTTACTCCATTTCTTATTCATGCCTAATTAGATTTGAGTGTGTAGAATATTTGGGGTTAATTGAATATTTTCTTTAATAAAACTGAGATTTACATGATTGGGGAAAGGAAGTGTACTTTGAGCTTAGATGGAAACTAAGCAGTCCCCAGGATTTTGTATGAAAAAAGCATGATAAATCCATGTGTAATTTGAGAAATCATTTCTTGGTAAATAAAACCTTTTATTGAGTTTTTTATTATTATTATATGTATATTATAGCAGTGTGACTGGCTTTAAAAAAAGCTGCTTTACATCTCAGCTGGAGGAAAAATCTTTTGGAATCTTGATTTAATAACTAACACTTATTGTAATAGTTTAGTGCTGTCACACCCTCAAGCCTGTACTTGCCTTTTTATCAGTCTGTAGGTAGGAGCGAAACCATTCTGCAATTAATGTATTCAATTTCGCGATCATAGTATAACTAAGAGAGATCATATTTGAATGTTCCTTTTTTTTACTGTAGAGTCTGAATCCATATAAAGAGCCTTCCTAAAAGAGTGAGTTGTTCAGTTATCCTTCTAGAAATACTCTGGTTTGTTTCTAGTTCTGAGTAAATGTAAGCCAAAAGTGGAAGGTAACCCCAGAAAACATTGCAAGGAAGGTCACATTGAAAACATTGCCTTTTTAACTACAACTCCCAGAATCCCCCTAGCCAACATGGTTGGCTGGAGGATGCTAGAAGTTGTAGTCCAAGAAATGAATGTTTCAAAGTGGTGATTATATCATAAATGTAGTGGCTTCCTCGTCTTCACTTTCTCACTGGATAGTTGTGGTGGGAGGAGGTAAAGACAGCGGAAACAGTAAATGATTGATAGTGTGTGTTTCATAGCCTTACTACCCATGAAATTCTTCTGATCGACTTTTGGTACCTGCCGTCCACACACAGTGTATTTACTGGCTCCATTTCTATCGCATCTTTCCTCCGGTTATCCTAGGGTGGATACCCAACCAGTTCCATGGATCAGTATAAGCTAGAACATTGGTTTCCTGGGTCTCCACCCAGGACTCCAGCCACAGAACCACATAGTCTAAATCTGGCATGTAGCATTTTCTGTGTAGCCCCAGCCTCCCTCGGAGAAAGGCAGCTTAGAAATGAAACAGAAACAAAGCCAACATGGCACCAGGCTCTCTCCTTTCGCTCTCTGTAGACCTTCCAATATGTCCCCGCTTACAGTCCATTAATCATCACTTGCCGTTTCATAGGTTTATCTGTGCCGCAGACTCAAAACTGGTGTTGGGGTCATTCTTTCTTGTTGGGAAACTGGTAGAATTGTGCCTCTGTGAGAGGGAACTCTTAGTGGTCATGCAGAACTAGTCATTGTGGAGCTTCCAGCTAGAGTCCCAGACCCTTCCCTCCGTGTTTGTTTGATGCCTGTTCCTAACTTCTGTGGAAGTTCAAAACAAAGGAAGGGGGATCCTACATGAAAAGGCTTAAGAAGAACTTGACTGATCAGTTGCAAAGAGGGGAAAGCAACATCAAGCAAGCTTCATCTCTATGCTTTCCAACTGAATGTACTATGAAGTCTGAGACTAGGGAAAATACTGTAAGTGTAAGCAAACTGGCTTTATACTTGGAATAAATAAGTTACACCTTAAGGGTTGAGTCTTAACTTCACCAAGGGGTAATGATCTTTTTTGCCCCTTCTCCCGGACAAGGCCACCATAATTGAAATAACAAAGATTAAGTTCAGTTGATAGACACTGATAACAAGGAAATAGCATTTATATTTCATCGAGCCAAGAGAATATTGCCGTAAGAATGCTGAGGTGGCCAGAAAAGGTCCTGGAAATAAGATTAATGATGGTGGGCCTGAAGAATGTTATCTTGACTCTATATAAACCTGCTTGGGAATTGACACGAGAAAGGGGAAAGATTAATGAAATCTTCCAAGGTTTTTTTTTATGAGATTTATATAGATCAGAAGCCTTTGGCCCTGAGATGTGAGTGGTTGATTATTTGGACAAATTGTAGATACCTAAGCAAGTGTGAAGTTTTTTTTAAAAAAAGTATGTTAGAGAAGGAATTAACAGCCAGATACCCTTTGCATTTGGAATATTATATACAGTATTTCCTCTTTGTAGAGTATTCTACCTGTAGAGGTGTCCTAGACCCCTTCCCTCTTCATATTCAGAAAGTGCATAAAAATACTGCTTTTCAAGGAGGCATTCAGGATACCTCCCCTCTATAATGGTTTGTCACTTAGTCCTATTTTTCGCCACTATATTTTGTAGTTTGTACCTTGTCTGTTGCTGCCATGTTGGGTTTTTAAGTATGTGGTTCTTTTACGTTATATATTTATATTTTTAATACTGCTATAGTCTGATGTGGTGTGCTCTTTACGTTATTTTACGGCTGGAAAATAGAGATTGGCATGAACCGCCGTTCGGTGGATTGGGCCCATCGATGTTGTGTGAGTGCCCCAAATTCTCCACCCGGCCTCCTCCCTGCAAGCGTCCAAGCGGAGGAAGAGATGGTGTAGGGAAGCCCATTGTTCATAAAACACAACGATCAATAAAATTAGAATAAAAACCCACAGAACATAACACAATAACAAACTCAAAGACGTGCATAAATATACCTATGAATTGTATCCTGAGTTTCATTTCCCCCACCTGAACAGTTCATCATATCCCTTGTACAGTATATCACACAATTGGGAGGGTGAGTGTGTTATGATGCTTCCTTTCCATCATTGCAGGAGAGGAACTGAAGCTCAGGGACAGTAGCTTGCTTAAAGCCAGCTAGTCAGTTCATGGCGGGGCAAAATTCACCCTGGCGACTTCTGCATTTATTGATCAGCCATGGTTGTTTAAATGAATGATTTTTACTCCCAACTTAGAGTGGGGAAATGCTTTTATTGTGACTTCACATGCTCGGACGATGTTTCCAAAGGGAGCCAGCCCTGTGGCCTGCATCAGGAAATTTCCAAAAGGGTAGCCATTTCGGTTTGCTGAAGGAAAAAGACAGAGTCCCATCGCACTGTTAAAGACGGGCAACAGGATCTCACTTGGAAATTCGGAGCGTATGGGCTGTGTACCCGATCCCTCTCTTCCTTTTAGGCAAGCCAGAGAGGGCCCTGTCCAAAGCGCAAGGGGTGAAATGAAAAAGTCCTTCTGCACACGCCAAGGGAAGGGGGGAAACAGCTGCATGCACAGCTGTCCATTGTAGTCAACACGAAGAGGATTTGAGCCTTATACAGTTTTGTACCATGAACTATATATATATGAACTATAGCACATTTCATTGGCTGCACGTTATCTGAACATTTTAGGGTGCTTTTTTTAAAATTTAGACAAGTAAATGTCAAGCCGTAGCCTTCCATACCCTGCTGGTCTAAAAAGTTCTCCTCGTTGCCTGTTGTGGCAGGAGAGGAGGATTAAATTACCGGGCTTGTCAAAAAGGACAAGTGCTCTGCCATACATTATATCGCTATCGCTGGCTCTCACCGTGTGAAAGAAACCACCGTAAATCTTCTCCGTAGCAAAGCTGTAAAAGCCAGTGGCTTTTACAGTCCTGACGGCCAGGGCCATTAACAGGAAATGACAGCTGTGTGGTATTCTTAGATGCTGCCCTGTATCTTTTCCGACAGCATGTGCCTAAAGCTGCCAGCGATATGACAACTGAATCACATGGCGTTTCCAACTTCAACTCCCGTTTTCCTCCCTGTTTTGTTTTGTTTTTCGGACGGCCACCCTTTTTTCCCCTTCCCATCCCCACTTTTCTCCAAAGCCACGGACACACGGTCCCTTCATGCGTAGCAGTTACCCAGTCCTACAGGTCTTGTTTTTACTTCTGTTGTTGACCAGAAGGTATTTTTAAAAGTAGGGTTAACGGCACCCTTCTTCGAAAGCGACATTAAAAATTGATCTAGGGAAATATTTCCATAATGAGAAGAAGACTGACAGGTACAATAGTCTTCTTTTTAGCATGATAGCTCATAAAGGTTTTCTTCATTATGCATTTGTTTATTGTCAATTTTGTATATCATTTTGGATCCTTTAGTGGCTTTAGTCTTTGGCTTGGAGCCAGAGGTTGGGAGTTCAATCCCCCCCCCCAGTGCCTGTTTGATAAGAGCTGGACTCAATGATCCATGGAATCTCTTCCAGCTCAGCAGTTCTAAGATGATGATGATGATAATGATTCAAAAATACCAAAAAAAACTTATAAAAACTGTAAAAACACGATAAAAACACAACAGTCCTATTTTTAAAAACCCTCTTCAGTAGCAAATGACGAAGACAAAGCTTGCCTGACGAGAACAGTCTTTGCTTTCCCCTCCCTGGCAAAAATGCGAGGAAATGTGAAGTGCTAATAAAGAAGGCACTCCACGAAGCTGTTACATGAAGTAAATATTAGCCAGCAATTTACCAAAAAAAGGTAAGCAGAAACATTTCTTGGTTCGAAAACAACAAAGCGCCTGGCGACACTAATTACATGATTCTAGCCCACTTCCTCAAATGCATGGAGGGGTAGGGCTGTTGTGTTTCTATTGTTGCTTTTAATGTGTGTTTTCAGCTGATTTACTCGCTTGCCAAACTATATTTGTTTAACTCTTTTTTAAATATTGCAATAATTTCTCGTTCTAGCTTTTATTTTTGTTTCTTTTAATGCTGTAAGTCACCTTCGATCCTTTTCCAGAGAAAGGTGACTTAGGAATATTTAAAATAAAATAAATCAACCCACCAGTCAACCTTTGGTGCTCCGTCTTCCTGGATTTTAGGGAAGCTGTAAATTTAAATGCCAAAAAAAAAGGCTATACGTTGTGGGAAAAGAAACCAACAAACAAGTTCTTTCTAGTTCTTACAGCAAATTGTACCGACTTTATTTTCTCTTTGGCTTTGAAGTGATGCATGTAGATGAAGCAAACAATAAAACGAGACGAGATTTCCTCAAGGCCGTAGTCCAAGGATCGGAGCCCAGCCCTGGAAGGTATGTTTTGGAGCCAATAAGTATTGGGATGCTTTGATCAACTCAATTTGCCATGCAGATTGATTTATAATTGCATCTGAAGGGGAGATATAAAGAATAAATGAATGCCTAAATAATTAGAAAAAAAAGCCTTACCTGTTATTCCACCTGGATAAGCTGTTCAAAATAGCATGTGTTGTTGTTATCAGTTTTTTTTCCCCATATGGTAGCTACTTATCTACTTTGGGTTGTTTTCCCGCTGTGTGTGGGTTGAACCCACTTGATTCTGGACACACACACACAAAATCTGCCTCTCTTTTCTCATGCCCATAGCTTTTCACGTGGTCAGATCAGCAATGAGGATGCCAGACTAGCACGCTTCCCTGCTCATGTGTTGACTAGACACAGTTAAGAACACTTAAGGAGGGCTACACCCTGCTCATGAACAAAAGTTTTATACCCCATAATACCTTGGAATTCTCATTGGGATCAGAAAATATCCCAGAGGCTCACACAAAGCACACGTGTGTTTATTTTGTTAATCAGAGTGCATAACAATTATGATCCATAAGTACCAGTTCATTCAGAAGCCTGGGAGTTGCTGATCAGCCTTTCACACAGTTCAGTCACCCATGTATTTAGAGATAAACGCTGCAGACCTGAGGGGTAGTTATTGGTATAAAGGCGGCAATCTTTGTTTCCTCCATTTTACTTTAAAATTGAGCTTCCTATACTGGCTGGTGTGCAATTTGTTAATGGGATCCGACAGGAAGCGCCATAAAATGATCCCTTAAGAGAAAGCACGTATCACATCTAAAGCACTTTGAAGTTCAGAAACAATTCGCCCCCCTTTTTCCCGTTTTGAGCAAACAAGCAAAGGACTTCCAGATTTATCGCATACATTAGTCAGATGGATAATATGCTGGGAATAGCAAAACTCCAAATACTATTACAAATTTCCCCAATAGCGCTGCATTCTCCAGCCAAGGTGGTTTTTTCCTTGGTCAGATCCAAGTCAAGTGACAAAGCAAAACCTTCCACTCAGGCTCTGAAATTCTGTAGCTTCAAAGTCTTGATGTAAGGATCCAACCCAGGTAAAACAGTTCTCAGTCCCTCTGGCTCCGTGGGTAGAAGATACAGGCCCATTATTTCATTCTTGTCCCTTGATATCAGCAAGCTCGTGGGGGTAAGGTCCATCGAAGCAAGCTCTTTTCTTCCAAGAGTATTTCCTTCAGGGTGATGTTTCTGATTCTCAAGAGCTTCTGACATCACTCTTCAACAGAATTGAATGTGTTTAAGAGGACTTCCAAGAGCAGTGGTTTTTTTAAATTGTCTTTTTCTTTGAGTAAGTTCACAATCCTTGCCCCTTGGCCAAGAAACATCTCTAAAGTCAAAACCGGAAATGAATGTTTTAATCATCATCATTACCTTTGAACTGCAGAGCTGGAAGAGACTCTATGGCCCATTGAGTCCAGCCCCTGACAAGGAGGCGCCGTGGGGAATTGGACTACCAACCTTCTTGGTCTGGTGGCCTCCATGTGGCCTCTAAGGTCTCTGAAGTTGCCCACTGTTGAATTAGTCCACATTGAAATCCCTCACGCCTGCCGCAATGCTGTTCAGGTGTTGTTGTTGTTGTTCCTGTGGGGCTGCTGGTCCAATTTCATGATTTACAGACAGGTGGAGCATTGGCAGGTACAATCTTTTTCCTCATGGACCTCTCCTGTTCCATGCCTAGTCTACAGAAAAGCTCCATGTGTCTCCCTGTCAGCCAGGGCATTAGCAGGAAGACTTGATTGAACAGAGGCACACAAAAGCCAATGACACCTCCAACGTTCTTTAGAAGTGACATCCATCAGACCGAAGCATTTTTTCAGCAGTTCCTAGGTCACTGCCATAGCATATGGATTGAGCCCTTGCCAGCTGGACTGGCTTATCCATGAAGCCACCTCAGAAGTGGGTCTGTAAGGAGAGAAAGACTGAATCCACGGACACTGCACATATTGAAGCTGGATGCATTGCTCCCTCGGCACATGTTTCTCATCACAAGGCCTTATATAATATCAGGGTAAACCTTTTTTTCTTCTTCTCTCATTTTGTCTCCACTGAAACAGGAACTAAACTTTAAAGTTTAGGAAGCCGAAGGAGCAAGGATAAAAATACCAGCCCAAATTAGGTACACATGGCCTCGTGTTGGGGCAGAATAAGTCAGCGATAGCTAACCTTGTACAGTGGTATCTCAGTTTACGAATTTAATGCGTTCTCTGGGACGTTTCATAATGTGAAAAATTCGCAAACCAAAACATGGTTTCCCATAGGAATGCATGCACGGGGGCGGCGCTATAAACCTCCCAGGCGCAATGCAAACTTGCTTCGTATTGCGGAAAAAATTCGTAAGCCGAGGCATTACTTTTGATGGACTGAAAATTACGTGAACCGAGGCGTTCGTAAACCGAAGTACCACTGTAGTAACTTGTAGAGAGGAAGGCGAAGACGAAAGCTGTGTAGCTCGTGAAGGAGCCATTGCACGTTCCACCAAAGCCCTCTGTCGGCTACCGAGTCAAAAGACTGTGCAAAGTTTTGAATTGGGTTTATCAGTGCTGTGTAAATGCAGTGTCTTAATATCGAATGGGGGACTCAAGGAAACGGAACCGAAGTAGAGTCACAGAATAGTAAAATGATAACTCTTACGTCTGAAGAAGTAGGCTGCAGTGTAGGAAAGTGAACGCCAAACAAAACTTATTAGTTTTGGGAATACCACATGATTCTTTGGCAGAAGCCTGACAGTTGTGCCATGGGAATTGTGGGGGTGGCGGATTCTACCCATTTTAAAAGGCTTGTGTCGGGTGCCTCAGCATCTTCCAGCTGAGCCAACAATTGCACACCAGCCAGGGAGCCAAAGGGGAGAACAGCTTGTGCCGTTGTCCCTACACCACCCTGTTTCCTCAACAGGATTTGGGCACAAACTAGCACGTCTCTCCCTCGGGGAGTTTCCACAACAAAATGCGTGCTTTTCACTGCAGTCCATTCATTTAAGATTCCGCCCCCTTTGTGGGTTAACCAGCTAACAGCCCAGTTCTGTAGATGCCTGCTGTGATGTAACCCAGGTTCGGTGGAACTTCTTCCCAGGTGGATGGAAATAGGATCTCCACTTAAAGCTTTAGTTTGTTAATTTACCTATTAATCATCATTTTCTTCTTTATGAAGCCAGGTAGCGCTTCCTTAAACTCTTATTTATTTATTTTTTAAAAGGGGAATGAGGTTCAGGGTCTGTTGAAGAAAGTGACATGGCTCAAAACTCTTAGCAAACCTCCATGCATACATGAAATATAGTGGGATCTTAATTTAAACCCATGAGCATTTAAAGCTGTGCTTTGATTTTAGCCCTGTTGTACAGGTTAAGGTCCTTCCTCCTACCATTAACACATTGATCTTTTGGATGAGCTTAGAAGAGAAATTATTTTCCAAAGCAGCTAAAGCGTCGTGAGTAGTGGAATTAATTCCCATTGGCATTGATGGTTTCATAGACGTGATTCTTGCCATGCACAACACACTTAACAATCTGTAAAGCCAACGTTCTGTGGTTTGGCTAGACCTCCCGAATTGTGGAGTTGGCTAAGGTGCCAGAGAAGGTAATAAATTACACGTGTCTCCGTGTTTTCGGGCCGTTCTGTGTTTTCAAGTCAATACAGGGCCAAGCCATGTTGGAGGAAGTGAGCTATTTGTCTACTTGTTAAAGGATAGTGTGCTTTTAAAATTTTCACATAAGGGAGCTGTGCATTCCAAAGGATGGTTTGTTTCAATCCTTTGTAGTTAAGTAAATAGCTTCATTGGCAGAACTTTACAGGGCTTTTCAGCATCATAACTAAGCCACTTTGTGAATAATCCTCCATGAGAAATGTGTACATCGAAAGGTCATTTTACAGTAATGTATATACATGTTTGAGACATCTGCTGGAGAATAACATATTTTTCTCCTGTCAAAACAAAAGGATATGGCATGTTTGTCTGTCCGTCTCTCTGTCTTCATAGCCTCCTTCTTCTGCTCCATAGCCAACAAGAGTCCCAGAGCCATTTTCAGATGGCGTTCTATTTTTTTTTTAAGACACAACAGAAATAGAAAAAGGAATGGGGAGGAAAGAAAGTAGATTGGATCTCTTTTCCGTTATACCTCCTTCTACTGCCCCCAGTTGGAATGGCTGATGATGGCTCCCTCCTTGACTCTGGGCTCCCACCTGGACTGTAGAGGTAGGCAAAAAGAGGTCTGCATTTGTGTGCCAAACAAAAAGGGGAAATGCTGGTGAAGAAATTTTCATCATGAGATTGACACTTTCCATAGACCGACCTTCTTCAAAGAAATCTTTGCCATGTTTCGTTCTTTCCGTAGTAAAGACCTACTTGTCCATTTCCGCACATCCTCTCCACTGGTTTCTCATCCACCACGTAGGTGAGCGATGGCGAACCTCTGGCACGCGTGCCATAGCTGGGACGCAGAGCCCTTTCTGCGGGCAAGCAAGCCATAAGTCGCCGGATCATTACTCCCCCCCCCCAGCCAAACCTCAGGTGCTGGCACGTTGACAAGCAGTGGGCCAGGATCCGGAGCTGCTGGCATTGGTGGCAGATCCAGAGTGGGGTCTTGAGGCACCTCCGTGCCCAGGATTCCCCCTTCTGCCACCCCTTCTGGTTCCGCCACAGCACGCTGCCTGCTGTGTTGTTTTTTCCAGTTTGGGCACTCGGGCCCCGCTGTGTTGTTGCTTTTTCCAGTTTGGGCACTCGGGCCCAAAATGGTTTGCCGCCATTGACCTAGGTGTTCAGTACAATCAGCGATGTGAAACTACAGGTGTCGATTCAAAGGACTAGTTGAAGCACACTGAATATAACCCAGGCAGGATGTATGTGTTATATTGGACCCATGGAAATTGATATAAAGCAGCTGGATAACACAACCCTGCAAGGTTTGGCACAACTGCCTTGCAGGCTGGGGATCTTCAGAGGCGTAGTTTAATACAAAAAAAGACCCCCGATATTTCCATATTCTGTTCCTTCCTAGTGGCAACTTAATTCCCCCTTTCCATTTAATTTATCCAGAACTTACCCACATCACTAGGGATCCCAACTATGAATTTATATATGCATTTTCTCCCTGCCCCCACTTTGGCAGCATACGATTCACGGTGGTCACTGACCCCCCAGAGGACGAACAAGATCTTGAGTGTGAAGATATTGGCTTTGCCTACATCAGCCTGAGTGATATATTTAGGAAAGGACGAGACATGATGGAAGAAGACATCAATGGTGAGTTCCAGCTCATTTTTAATTCTTTTTCCCAATGTTCAGTTCTCAAATTATTTTCAAGATGGGGTTGGGGGTCCTGGATAGTCCTCAGATGATCGATTATCAAGGACCTTCAGAAGAAATGTGGTATATAACCCTGGAGATCCACTGTCAGTCAGTACCAGCTTAGATGGGCCAATGACTTGACTCCATTCCTAATACCTGTGTTGTGTCTGCAGCTTTGGGGCTGAGCACCAGGTCTTAGGAGGACCCCTCGAGGGGGAAGAGAGAGATGTGGAAACAATGCCGTAGGTGGGCATGAGAGGGAATCCAGGAAGTTATGTGGTTGGACCAGAATAAATAGTGGCCGTGTGATAGATAACATCTCCTAAACAGAGAATTTGTCCTCATAGTTACATACGGTTGTTTGTTTATACTCAGCTGTTACTTTGGAAAATTCCATTTGGAAGTGTAAAAAGAGCCACTGCTTAATTTTCAGCGAGGAACTCTTGACACATATACAGTGTGTGTGTCCATATTTTTTCCTGCACTTGAAAATAACAAAGTTTTATGATTTTGTTACTAAAATCTCTGCTGTGTTCTGTATTAAGACCTCCAGCTAGGGAAGTGGGCAACTCTTCCCCAGCACCCCGACTATAGTTCTCGGACCTCTTTCCATCCTGTTGCCACCTGACACTTGGCTGGCAGTTCCGTTGCTACTTCTCCCTTTCTCTTCCAAAGGCCTTTTCTAATCCGTGACTGAAACGGAAGTTCACTCACAGGCGTGGGAGTTCTGTGAATGTGTGAACTTGCTTTTGATGTTGCTTCCCCTCCCTTTGTTTCTTCTCTAGTTGTCAATACGCAAGACGATGGAGCAGTAATTGGAAAGCTCAGAGTAACCGTGGAAGCCCTCCACGCTCTGCGCTCGGTCTACAAGGAGCGTGGAAATGGACGGGAGACTCAAAAATAAGCCCTTCGCAGCAATGGGTGTGTCTTTGCTCAGCGTAGCCTACGCTGGGCGCAGCTCTGGGAAGACAGAGATGCTACAGTATAGTTAATGTATAATTTATATGTAAATGGTTCACCATTTTCAGCTGTATAGTTGTTTATTTTTCCATCTGTTTGGGGTTTTATATATGTATTTACACTCTGTGTGTGTGTGTGTGTGTGTGTGTGTGTGTGTGTGTGTGTGTGTGCATGCGCGTGTCCGTTTGCGTGCACTTCTACCCCTACCTACAGTGGATACCAGCTTGTAAATAATTAATACCTACATGATTGAATGATGTGCTTTATTTGCATTTTCGACATATTTTTTGCCTTACATAAAACATAATAAAAATGCAAGTGAAATTTTTAATTTTTAATAATAATAAAAAAACCTTAAGCCTTAGAAAACTGATTAAAAATACTTTTATGTTATCCCTAATCACCCTGATAAATGGAATGCCTGCGATTAGCCTCATTAAGAATTTTATACTGTGAAGCTTTTATTAGAAGCAATATATGAAAATTACTTGGATTAATGTGTTAATCTGCCTCTTTAAAATGCTAATATCCATTTTATGCACATTAAATCTCAGTATGCATTTTCTTTGATGCATGCCGTTTCTATCAATTAAATATAAAGAACGAGACTGGTCCCAAGACTTATTAAATTACTGCAAGCTTTTATAAAAAGAAACACACAACTTTTGCCCTTCTGCTAACGTTATAATCAGTTGTTTGTGATTATTAAGTTTGGAGGGGAGGGTGTTCCTCAACCCCCCTTTTTTGTTTTGTTTCTTTTTCATCTGCAGGAAAAAGGGATTTACATATTTCAGCTCCTGGCAATCAGAGTGTAAAACAACACTCTAAAAGAATCGATCAGATTATCTCGCACTCAAGGCTGGGCCACTTGTTCCCACCCCCACCCTCTTTAAATCATGTTGAAAACTTAAATAAAACCTGAACAATGAATACTTGTATCCCAATAGTCAGTGTTTGAAAAATAGCCTAGAAACTCAATTTTCCACTTTTCCTCCAATGATGAGGAAAGATTTAATTGGTATCTTTTAGAAGAGCTGTGGGGGGGGGGAGGGAAGAAACGATAAGTCCGTAGATGAGATTCAGATTGTGGGGGGATGTTAACGTTTCGTATTTGAGTTATATACACTTTGTTATCTTTTTCATTTCTTTGAGCAGGATTTCATAGGTAGAGCTAGCTTCCCAGTGTTTGCAAAACAGGCTATATTTCTTTCGCGAGCATATGTAAAGTATTCGGAGAGATAAGTAATTTATTAAAATCTACCTAATTTGCCATGATATATTAAATCTCCAGTTCAGTGCTCACAGACCATTTCATTTAAAGAATTAGGCACCCCCTCTTTGTGTGATTAAAGCTCTGGAAAATGAGTTCTTTGCTCCTATTTGTGAACATTCAGAGCCTGCTAATGGCAAGAAGATGGAATAGATTATGAGACAATTCATTACAGTTCAAGGGGGGAGGGAGGCAGCATAAATGCAAAAGGGAGAAAAACATACAAGTATGAGTATCTGCATATAGTTTGAGCCATCTGTGCTCTAATGGCTTCAGATACGTCTCTTTGCTGTGAGCAGGCTTTGAAATGGCAGCCATACAATATTAATTTGTTGACGTGCATCAAGAGGCCAGCAGAATATATATTTTGACCACAGAAATCTCTGAATTCTGCCATTAAATTCCCCACTCCCTCATTCCTGGTCTTCAGGGACCCACCCTCTCCAAGGAGCAAGCTGGGCAAATTCTCCCGGCAAGTTATTCCTGTGGAACGTTCTAGAAACCACAGAGACATTCCCTTTCCCTCCCCCCAGCACACAACAGGGCCCTGTTTGTGTTCTCACTTACACTGGTTCTTAGCTCATCGTCTTTGGCGTAAATTTCTTAGTGTCCTTTGGCTCCCTGCAACCATCTTCTCATTAAGCCTTGTATTATACATTTCACTAATTTGAAACAGCATAGCTTCGACACCGAGATTTACAAAGTGGCTTTTCAGAAAGGCGGTTGTGGTATCTGAGCAGGAGGTTTGTATTATTTACCTAATATTTTGCAACCCAAAACAACATCTCTTCCTTATAAAGAAGTAAATACATAGGCTCCCTTCCCAACTGTTCAACAAACTTGCGGGGTAACTGCGTCACAGAAGCCCTCGGGGATAACACCAGCCAGGAAACGAGATAAGAACTTTATTGTGTATCTCAATCAAGAACAGAACAGCAACCGGAAACTTGAGTTCAGTAAGCTACAACTAACATCAGTGCCACCTAGTAATTCAATCATATAACAATGCTATCCATGCAGTTAATAATTGCCGTGTTCTCGTCTGCGGTCTTTTCAAATGACCATCTCAGGCTGGAAAAGAAAATCATCCCCTCACTAAGAATATTGCCAATTTAAAGTGAAGTGTTTCGTTTTCAGCATTCGCAGGCAGAAGATAGACATTGCAGTCATAAAGCCATATGGAAGTAAGAGGAAAGCAGTACATTCTGGCCGACTTTTGTCCACCTCGCCTTTGGTTGACTGGAATTGCAGGAAATCCCACGTTTGATCCATGATGTTTTCAGGAAGGTCTGTGGAAGAATACCAGTGTCTTCGAAGCATGGGTCGCATCCTATCCTGATTATCTTATCACAATTTGGGCACGTCACGAGAAGGCAAGATTGTCTGGAAAAGACAATAATATTAGGAAAGGTTGAAAGCAGCAGGAAAAGAGCAAACACGAAATGGTTTGACACCCTAAAGGAACCACAGACTTGAGTTTACAAGAACTGAGGCAACTTGATGATATGGAACAACAACAACATTCTGATGTGGGAGTTATCTTCAAACACCAGTTCTAAATACGCAATGAAAGAAACGGATCCATATACATGTGTTGGACTTTAAGTGGAGGGTAGGTGGGAGAAGGTTGAAGAACTTTATGTTGGAGAAGCTCTTCCATCATTTCTAAGCTCCCGTGGATCCCTCTGCTGAGAACAGAGGATCAATCATATAAACCAAATAAATAGATACTAATAATTGTTAAGCTCGATGGATTAAGAGTCTGGGGTCAGGATAAAGCAGAGTATTGGTCTAGATGAAGTTAAGGACTCTCCTATCATTAGGGAGGACGATGTGACCACGTTCCGTGGGAGGAAGTGGAAGAGCAGCAAATTCTGCCACTTCTGCTATTAGGAAACATCCCACCTCTCCAGCTAGCTTCACTCTCTTTCCTACCACCCATTTCTCACTTTGTTGTGCCTGGAGATCTCTGATGGTCATGCTTCCCTTTGGACAACTCCATAGCTTAGCTCCTTTGCTTTATCACCCTTCCTTTTGTTATCTTATTTACTCTTTCAAAGAAATGTTGGACCATATTGGCTAGTGCCAGCAAGTCAAAGCCAGCAAGGAAGAGGCGGCGATGGGACACAGGTAGCTGTAGCAGAATGGGATAAGGTGAGCTAGACCCAGAGGTGGCAGCTGAAGATGACTGCAGGGTGTAAAGGATTGAACTAATCTGATGCTTCACATTAGCTATACCAGTGGCCTTCTCAACCTTTGGTCCTCCAGATGTTCTTCATCTTCAGCTCCTAGAAACCCCGGCATGGCCAGTGGTAGGATTCCAAAGTTCAAAACAGCTGGGGTCCAAAGGCTGTGAGAATCACAGATGTAAACTTGTAACTTTCCATCGTTCCAGATGGACTAAAGCAACATCCCGTGTGAACTGTTTTCAACGAGGACCGTGGATTCAAATGACTCCATGTAAAACCTAAGTTAAATCCTTACTGTCTTGTTCCACTTTGAAAAAAATGTGGTTGTTGTTGTTGTTGAATAAGCTTTCTTTTGAGGCAGAGCCTGTTTCATCAAACATGGAGTATGATTTACGCTCTATATGGCAAAACCCAGTTCCTTCGGAATTTTCAAAGAGGTGACACTCAGTGTTGTTGCAAAAATGACAATGGATCTTGTTGTTTCTTCCGGCAAAATGAGTCACAGCAGAAGTTTTTGTGGGCTTAAAAAACTCTGCCTTCCCTCCTGATTTTAATTCACTCTATTACTAAGCCCAACAAGACGTTTCACCAGGATCCTTTCTTTGTTCTGTCCAAGCAGTATATTATGTCATGCACTTTAAATAGTTACTTTTTAAAAGTAACTTTATACATTCTGGTTCCCTCTACATATCCCTACATCGCAGTTTCAAGAATTATAACAGCTTTTACAACTTTGTTTTTTAAGGCTATGATAATGTACTTTTAAGCACATCAACAACATATATTTTAAAAGAACAATGAATGCCTTGGCAATGTTTACTGGAAGTCCTGGTTTTATGGGCATGGGTTAAATCGCTGAGCCACTTGGCTGTCGATCGAAACGTCAGCAGTTCAAACCCGTGCGACGGAGTGAGCTCCCATTGCTTGTCCCCAGCTTCTGCCAACCTAGCAGTTTGAAAGCATGTAAATACGAGTCAATGAATAGTTACCGCCTCAGTGGGAAAGTAACAGTGTTCCGTGTCTAGTCATGCCAACCACATGACCACAGAAAGCGACAATGGACAAACGCCGGCTCCTTGGCTTACAAACAGAGATGAGCGCCAGCCTCTAGAGTCGGACACGACTTAATTGTCAAGGGGGAACTTTTACCTTTACTGGACGTCCTGGTTGTTTGGGCACAGATGTCTCATAAGAAGCTGCCCTAAACCCATTTGATCATTGATCCGTCTTGCTGTGCATTATTGGAAACAGTTTTCCGTAGCTTCACCCTGGAATGTTTCCACGCTCTTTCAGAAGATCCCATGGTCTTGAACCAACAGCCTCCTGCACACTGCAAATCATATACCCTATGAACCAGATCATCCCCTCCCTCAAATGTTCTCTCCTAACCAGCACAGAGTGATATGGACAGAAGCCGACTTTCTGGGTGAGTGTGAGAAACGTTCTCGTGCTAATTCCCAAACCTTGGTCTTTGTGGTAACTAATAGTTCCCAGCCCCCGAGAGGGCCAGGGGCGAGGGTGGGGAACCCAACCACTGTTATGGTTACCAAATGTGGCTTATTCAGATTATTTTCCCTGAGAGTTGAAGCAGGACAGCATCTTCCAATTTACAATGCTTTGCTGATGCATCCCATATTATCAGTTTATTAAAGGGAGCCAAGGGAAATTGGCTTAATGGAATAAAATTCCATCAAATTAGTATCAAAGCTTAACTGCTTTGCCTGAGCTTTACAGTGTCATTTTCAAGAGTCAAGGTAGTCAATAGGCGGGCTGTCAAAAGTAAGAAAAAGCAAGACACAGCTTTGCATTTTTTTTTTAAATTATACACTAATTTATATTAAGAGATGCAACTTTAGGAATGGCAATCTATGGTTTAAATAGAAATAAGAGTGCATCTCTCCAGAGAGTGGCTGAGGGGGAGCAAGCAACTCGGGTGTCTCCCAGCGAGTAAGGTCCCTCCTCTCCCTCTGGAGAGTTAGTTCACTGTGTTCAAGCTGGATTTGAATTAGATGGGACTTCAAATAAGCAATGCCTTCAAACAGAGCTGTTGACAAAGTCAAGTCAAAATCAAAGTTAAGACAGCTCTAAGGGACGTGGTGGCGCTGCGGGCTAACCCGCAGAAGCCTCTGTGCTGCAGGGTCAGAAGACCAGCCGTCGTAAGATCGAATCCACGCAACGGAGGGAGCTCCCGTCGCGTTGTCCCAGCTCCTCGCCATCCTAGCAGTTCGAAAGCATGCAAATGCAAGTAGATAAATACGTACCACCTCGGTGGGAAGGTAAAACGGCATTCCCTAGTCACACTGGCCATGTGGCAACGGAAACTGTCTTTGGACAAGCGCTGGCTCTACGGCTTGAAAACAGGATGAGCACTGCCCCCTAGAGTCGGACACGACTGAACTAAGAATGTCAAGGGGAACCTTTACCTTTAAGGGCATTCAGCCTCTGACAGATATGGA